ATCTCCCGCATTATTCTATTTGAAATCCGAGGAAATGGGAAGTTCTGAAGGATCCAAAGGTGTAATCTTGCTAGGGTTTCTGCTGCTGATCCTACTCCAGTCGGCGGCAGGTCGGTTCGTGGTGGAGAAGAACAGCTTGAGGGTGCTTTCACCGGATAACATCAAAGGCAATTACGATTGTGCCATTGGCAACTTTGGGATTCCTCAGTATGGGGGTAGCATGTCCGGGACTGTGGTTTACCCCAAGGATAACCGCAAGGGCTGTCGGAAATTTGAGGATTTCGATATTTCTTTCAAGTCCAAGCCTGGTTCTTTGCCTACATTTGTCCTTCTCGATCGTGGAGGTGCTAAAATTTGCCTTTATATTTAATATTTTATCTGAGGATCACTAGTACTTGTTCGAATACTTGATTATGCTAATGTTTGATTCTTCGATTTGCTGGGATAAGTATAATTGATATACTTAGCTATTTGTAATTGATGCTTTAGATAAGAGGCCTGATGTTGACAGTACTCTTTAGCTTATACATATTGTTTATGGAGTGTCATCTGTCCAGCCTGACCTTGCTGTAAATATATGCTTCTATGATGCTCTCTTGGTGTCTCAGATGAAATTGTGGACTTTAACAAAATTGAAAGTTTGCTTGGGGAGATTAACAAGGAAAATTGAACAGAGAAATTTTCTAAAATTATTTAGAAAGTTAACATAAATATGGGGAATCTGTTTTTGAATAGATCAATCATATGCCAGTTCAGACCCTACTGATGTCTTCTTTTGGAACAGAGGAATTTCTAAGGGCAGGGTAATGAATGCTGAGGCTATTGATGGGCCTTTTGAATTTTTAGCCACTAAATAGGAAGTCACTAAATTTTCCATGGATCCACGCATTTATTCTGAAAATTTGAGCCTAATTACGTTACTTCTTTGCAGATTGTTTTTTTGCATTGAAGGTCTGGAATGCCCAGAATGCCGGTGCTTCTGCTGTTCTAGTTGCAGATGACATGGAAGAACCACTGATAACCATGGATACTCCTGAAGAGGATGTTTCTGCTGCAAAATATGTTGAGAATGTAACAATTCCATCTGCACTTATTGAGAAGAATTTTGGTGAGAAATTGAAGAAAGCAGTTAATGGAGCAGACTTGGTAAATGTAAATTTAGACTGGAGAGAAGCTGTTCCTCATCCTGATGATCGTGTGGAATTTGAGCTATGGACCAACAGTAATGATGAGTGCGGTTTTAAGTGTGACATGTTGATGAAGTTTGTGAAAGATTTTAAAGGTGCTGCTCAGATCCTTGAAAAAGGTGGCTACACTCAGTTTACACCCCATTATATAACTTGGTATTGCCCTCAGGCATTCACTATTAGCAGACAATGCAAGTCACAATGCATTAATCATGGCAGATATTGTGCACCTGATCCTGATCAGGACTTTAGTTCAGGTTATAATGGAAAGGATGTTGTTCTTGAAAATTTAAGGCAGCTTTGTGTCTTTAAAGTTGCCAATGACAGCAAAAAGCCTTGGGTTTGGTGGGATTACGTGACTGATTTCCAAATTCGATGTCCCATGAAAGAGAAGAAATATAACAAGGAATGTGCTGATGAAGTCATCAAGTCCTTAGGTAATTTATTGTTTCCTCTTGCTGCTGGCTTGCTGGGGTATTGATCTGTAAAACAAGAATTGATGCTAGGATAGTTTGCATACAGGTCTTGATTTGAAAGGGATTGAAAAGTGTATGGGAGACCCTAGTGCTGATGCTGACAATCCTGTTTTGAAAGAAGAGCAAGATGCTCAAGTAAGTGTCAACATCTTTTTCCTAAGTGATTCAACACCTTTTTTTTTTTTTAATTGTTCAAGCATTTTGACTAGTGAAACTTTTGCAGCTTGGTAAAGGATCGCGAGGTGATGTCACTATATTGCCCACCCTTGTTGTCAATAACCGACAATACCGAGGTTAGATTGACTCTTTGGTACTTATACACTCATATCTTTGTGGGAATCTAGACATTTTCTTCACAAATACATTTGTGTGCAGGGAAGTTGGAGAAAGGTGCTGTTTTAAAGGCTATTTGTGCTGGCTTTGAGGAAACCACAGAGCCTGTAGTTTGTTTGAGTGATGGTATGTTTGTAACTCTGCTTAAAGCAAAGTGTTCGATGATATGTTTTTTGCGTTGCTTGAATTTTTAATTAGTATCTTTTTACTACACAGATTTAGAGACAAATGAGTGCTTAGACAATAATGGTGGCTGCTGGCAAGACAAATCAGCCAATATTACAGCATGCAAGGTTCTTTCCTAAACTTTAGCAGATTATATTCTTCTATGTAACTTTTTCATATTTTAGTAATGCCATTTATGCATATTCAGGATACATTTCGTGGAAGAGTCTGTGAATGCCCCACGGTTGATGGTGTGCAGTTCAAAGGAGATGGCTACAGTTCTTGCAAGCGTGAGTGTAGAGTTTATTTACCCAATACTTATTTATTTAATTATGCTCGTCCCCTCTATCATGCTTTGGCGTCATTCATCAGTCCATATTTGCAGCAAGTGGACCAGGCCGATGCAAACTGAATCATGGAGGCTGTTGGCATGAAACTCGAAATGGACGTAGTTATTCTGCTTGTGTGGTCAGTTCATTTACAATTTTTTTCCCTATCATCATTGTGGTTGAAACTCAGTTTGATTTAAATTCCTTATTTGCTCTCAACAGGACGAGGAAGATGGCAAGTGCACATGTCCTCCAGGATTTAAAGGAGACGGCAAAAGTTGTCAAGGTATATTGCTCTTCAGGAATATTTTTAAAGCGTATTGTATTAGAAAATTCATCATGTTTTAAGGGAACTCCAAATAGCGCCAATGAGGTAATTTATCCCGAGATTTTTCTTAGGTTGCAATACCTATTGTAGTTGTACTCAGAAATCTGGTGTACTTCAAAAACTGACACTCTGGTTTCACTCCCTTCTTCTGGAAAACTGAAACAAAGTGAACTTTGAATTGATGGAAAAGTTTAAAGGTAAAATTGATAAGAAGTTGATTAATTTTGATGCACACGAGAAATTTGGCTTGGAGGTTAGTTCTAATAAAAAGTGGCGGGTTAAAGCTTTGTGCTTGTTTAAATGATAATGGTTCATTTGAAAATTCTTAATTTAAACTTGTTCTTTATTCTTTGAAATAGATATTGATGAATGCAAGGAAAAGAAAGCCTGCCAGTGCCCTGAATGCAGCTGCACAAATACCTGGGGTAGCTACGAATGCACTTGTAGCAGTGACCTACTGTACATGAGAGACCACGATACTTGCATTAGTGAGTTTAAAAATTATTACTTCATATTTCTAAGTGTATGTATACACACATATAAGGACAAGTTATCTTGATTCTCATTTGCAGGTAAGAAGGCTGCGACTGAAGTCAAGTCTGCATGGACTGCTGTATTGGTCATTATTATAGGACTCGCCATGGCTGCTGGTGGGGCATATCTTGTATACAAATATAGATTTAGGGTAAGTTTAAAACACAACAGAATTATAATGGTCTTTGGTTATACATACTTATCACTGGACATTAATCTTCCTGACAATACAAACACCATAAATCTGCAATTAAATATTTTTTGGTTTATGAGGGAAACCCGCAGCCACTAGGTAAACCCTGCCTTGTGGCTCTAGCTGGTAAACCCTGTCTTGTGACTCTAGCTGGCAAATGATTACAGTGAGATGAACCAACCTAGGTTACCCATACTCAGAGCTGTCAAAGCGGGTTGGCGGGGCGGGACCCGTCAAAGCCCGCCAAACCAAGAAGGCAAATAGGCCGTTCTCGCTGGGAGTCGAATTTGTAACTTTGTGGTTACCAAGTCAACAACATGACCAACTTAGCCACACTACTTTTCTCCACACTCAATTGTGCTTTTGGTTTGTAAGCTAACCTTTTTTTGTGTTGTTTAATTCAGTCATACATGGACACTGAGATCAGGGCCATAATGGCGCAATACATGCCACTCGACAGCCAAAATGAAGTTCCATACCATGTTTCTGATGACCGTACCTGAAGGATGGATACTTGTCGCTATGCATCCAAGAATGAAGTTCCCGGAACTTTGTAAAAACTGTGCAGGAGAAAGGGAAGCCTCTAATCATTACCATTCTTTCAGAATCATTGCACAGGGATCAAATGCCTCTTTTCCTATCAAGGGTTGGTAAAATTATTTGGGAGAGTTGTAAATTATGTCAGACAATAAACTTATAAACATCTTGTTTGGTGTCTTGTAACGTTGTGAGCTAGGAATTAGCTAAGGTGCACCAGGGAATGTGGGGTTATGTAGATCCCCTCTATGGTGGATGCTTTTAACGAGTGCAATTGTTTTTCTTATGCAACAGGAAATCAGTACATTTAGAAATGGTGAATGGTGACTAAGATTTGTACCGTTAGAATTTACAGATTATTTCCACGTCTTCTTTATGTCTCGTGTTTTAAAAATGGCTTCTATATCCCATCAATTAATACACGGGCTATGAGTTATAGGCTAGGGGTTTTATTTTTTATTTTTGTCAATATTTTCTCACTTTGGTTCCTCACACGGAGTCTTTTTAATTTACATGTAGTTTATGCGTTATCACACAAAAATAGTACTTTCATGTATAATTTGCAGGCTAAATATTGCGCCCACCAATATATATATTCAAGTTATGGTTACCAATTTCCAAATTGGGAGAAACAATCATTATTGTGTGGATGATGATCTACACAACTGTGTAAATCATACTATTAAATAATGTATATTCAGCACATAAATAATGTATTTTTAGTATATTAATAATATATTTTTTGTTATAGTTCACATAACAGTGTGTAGACCATGATCCGTACAATAATTTACCCGAGAAAAAAGTATTGGGCCTGATATTTTCTGGAATGATTACAAAGCCCGTCAAAATCATTTCCGGGTACTCGAATAGGAAACCAGACTGGTAAGTTCAAACCGTATAATTCCCAGATGGATGTATGAAAAGTGAAGCCCCGAAAGTAAATAAAAAATGCTCAAAATAATCACATACAAATCTCATGAGTGACGAAGATGCTGTGAATGTGTTTGATCTCCCAATTTCCAATTCGGCTAAGCTAAAACCTCAGGGAGAAATACAAAAAAATTCTTCGCTATAGAAAATTGATCTCAAATTTCTTCAGCTCCAATTGATCAGCTACAATGGTGGTCTGTAAATGCCGAAAGGTATCCGCTCTCGAAACCTCTCGCTCCTTCTCTCTGTACATCTGTTTATGCATAATTGTACGTTCTTTGAGAAATGGTGATTCTGGCTATGTAAGCAAAACGGTTGTCCTGCGAATATTAGATCTGAATATCTGATCGAGGCAGTAATTTGCAATCCGAAGCATTTGTTCATCTGGAATTTTATTTTTAGCGTTGTTTTTAATTTATGAATCCAGACTAGATGTCTGGCTTTTGTTGGTATGATCTACGGCGTAATTTAAGGTATTGGAAAGGGGAGAATTGATGTTTACGTTATTGCTTACTGTATCCTGAGTTTCCACATTAGCCATTGTTGTTGAAATTTTTTTCTAACTTAAACTGATTTAGAGCTAGTTTAGTGGTCTGTCACTATTTGGATTGGTTAATGGGAATGGTAGTTGAAATTCTTTTGATCGCAATGGCTTTATTCAGATTTCTTACAGATTGTATTAATGTGGTTGCAGGCGACTAAGTTGTACTGTTTTGTACATAAGGTACCTGTATGTGGAGAATGCATATGCCTTCCAGAACATCAAATATGTGTGGTACTATTTGAAACTCACTATCACATCATTTACTTTACAGATTTTATATATTTCTGTGTTTTTTTGGCATTTAAACTTCAATAAATTCTTCCAAATTATCACATTAATTGAGTCTGTAATTGATCATATTATGAAATTACAGCAAACTGGCATCACCTATGTCTTTTCTTGTTATTCTATTCATTCTTAAAGAATTCCATCATTTTAGGTCCGAACCTACTCTGAATGGGTCATAGATGGAGATTATGATTGGCCTCCAAAATGTTGTTCCTGCCATGATGTGCTCGAAGAGGCAACTGATACTCAACCTATCCGATTGGGTTGCTTGCGTATGTATACCAGCTGATGCAATTTAACAATTGTGCATGTGATCCTTTTTGGATGTTATGCATTCCCATTTGTATACTGACTTTATGCTTTTGTTTGATTTAATTTGCAGATGTAATACATAAAAATTGCTTCATATCACATATTAAAGGTTTTGCACCACACACTGCTCCAGCTGGATATGTGTGTCCTGCCTGTTCAACTGCAGTAAGTTCTACTTCCAAAAGTAACACCTCTTTTTCTTACTTTAACTAGATCATTCCTGTTGCAGTATAAGAAGTGATGGACTTTAGAGAAATATGTATTACCTAATGATAATGGTACTCCATAATAGATCCATCCTAATTATATGTGTTTGGGAAGTGTAAGGACTTGGCTGGAGTTAAGGATAAGCTGCATAGTGTGGTTTTCACTGAAGCATCTAAAATAAGCACTGAGATAGTGCTCTTATTTATTCACAGCATTTTTCATGAAAATTCTTCCTGCTTTGATTGCTTTGTGTTAGTTAAATGAAGGCGGAGTCTAGGTCTACATTGTTACAATGTGAAGCTATTCTTGCTTATTGTAAAGGCATAACGGCAAGACTATTAATGATGTGAATAATTGATAGACATTTGACCATGTATGCTTTTGTCCATAGGGACCCTAATATGATTTTGTGTTGCCTTAACTGTTGTTCTTCAGTGAGATTTCAAAATTTCAATCCAACGCCTGACACATAATTTGAAGATTTTGATTCAAAAATTCAAAAATAGTCGGGAATGAAAGTAATTTTGATTATGAGAGATACTGGGAGGTGTTTAAAAGTAAATTTTTTTGGTCATCTTTGATTTCTGAGATGTGCTTTTATTGATGTAGATATGGCCTCCTAAAAGTTTCAAAGATTCAGGATCTCGTCTTCATTCAAAACTGAAAGAGGCAATTCTGCAGGTATTTGTTTGTTAAGAAAAATTGAATAAATTATATCCAGGGACACTTCTGTAACTCTACTTTGATGCGGTGCAGACTGGTATGGAGAAAAATTTGTTTGGAAATCATCCTGTTTCATTGCCAGCAACAGATTCTCGAAGTCCTCCACCAGCTTTTGCTTCAGATCCGTTGAAGCAAGTTTCTACAGCTGACTCTAGTAGTAAAGACATTGAAGGATACATAGCTCCCCCTGCAACAGGTTCTGCCAAACCTTCGGCCATAGACATAGATGACCCCAGCTCAGCTACTTCACCTCTGTCCAATCATGAGTCCAATTTCATTAAGAGCACAAGCCCACATGGCGTAAGCAAATTTTATTGTTTTTATCCATTGTACAATGGGTGAAAGGCTTCCTTGATAAGTTTGAATCATGCATCTATACTTGATGTCATGCATGGGTGATACATGTTCTTTAATTTACTTGGTATCTGTTATCTCACATGCTTTAATCAAATTTCATCTTTCCCAGCCTGGTGCTACTACACGAAAGAGCACGGTGCAAGCTGATAAACAAAACTCTGAAGTTTCATATTATGCTGATGATGAAGATGGAAACCAGAAAAAGTACACAAAAAGGGGTGAGAACATGTTATGTGGCTCTAATCTGCACAAGTACTTGTGAAAAAGATCTTGCAAATTCATGAAACTCAATGGACAAAGAAAACTCTATTCCAATCTTCCTTTATTGTCAATACTATATATTAAGGACGCATGTTATATTATGATTTGGATTACTCTATAAAGATTCCTCCAGGTCCAATTAATGGTTATTCTCTACAGGTTCATTCCGACATAAGCTTCTTAGGTCATTGCTGCCTTTCTGGTCAAGTGCATTACCAACACTACCTGTAACTGCACCTCCACGAAAAGAAACATCAAACACTGATGATGTGCCAGAAGGTCGTACTCGACAACATAGATCTTCAAGAATGGATCCAAGAAAAATTCTCCTCATTATAGCAATCATGTAACACTTTCTGCCTCTTGGTTTCTTTAAGTTGTTGAGTTCTCAATATTTCCTGTTTTCTTCTACTTAGATTTGAATATAACACATCTGCCTATTTAATTTGCACAAGAGAATTTGAGGCATAAAAGAATATACAGTAGGATATATGATGGAACCGAATCTATTTATTATCTATAGGGATCTATGTACAAGTAGTTAAGATTAGTGCTGAAATCATGTGTATAAATATATTGGACTAAATTGCTAAACTTAAACACCCTCTTCTAGGTGAAACTATGTGACCTCCAAATTGGTTTCTTGAATATTTTCTATCCCTGTCCCATTATGACCAAATTAAACATTCATCAGAAGTTTCTGCTAGTACCTGACTGGAATATCATAAAACATTTTAAATTGGAAGATTATTGGTAGTTTCATTTGCAACTAGAAGGAGAAAATCAATTGAGGGAAAACAAAAGGAAAAGAGGAAGGTGGAACATGAAATAGACAAGAATATACTAGGATGCACGAACCTTTTATATCATGTAATACCAAGGGTGCTTGAACATTCAGGATGCCTGAGATGATAATCATGTTTCTAGTCTAATATATGGAGTATATTGTAAGTATGGATTAACCAATTGTTCTTCTTACTTGTAGGGCTTGCATGGCAACAATGGGCATCCTGTACTATAGAATTGCACAGAATGGTTTAGAGGAGCTCCCTGAAGATGAGCAGCAGTGACTCACCTTACAAGCTATGTTGCAGCTTGATCGGTGGTGTATCATTTGAAAGATCAAAATGTTCCTTGTCAGATGCCATTTTTTCCCCCTTTAGCTCTTCTTGGTTGGGGATTTCGTGGCAACTCTTGAATTCAATTTGTGGAAATAGCAATGGTTGGTTGTTCAGTCAGTTAAAGAGAACTCACAGGACAGAATTATTGTGTCTTTTATTGCTGATCTTCTTACGTCTTATAACATCATCATCTTTACTTTATTCTTAATTTTCCATTTAATCTAAAAGATGGTGACTCCAGTTCATTTCAGTATGTGACTATCTCTTTGCTTCTCAACATGAAATGTATACCTTGCAGTCCTGAAGGAGGAGACCATTTGCAAAGGAGTAGTGAAGCCACTTGGACAGGTGGTGTTTCTGTTGTTAGTATGGCTCTGTTTGTTTGTTTATTTGTTTTTTTTTTTTTTTTTTAGTCTTAATTGTTCATAATAATATAAAACTTATACTTCTGTGAATTTAGACAAAACAATTCCTTTTGGTGATTAATTGGGAATTGGCTTCTCTTTACAAAATTTTACTGTGGAATATAAACTTTTGCAATAAATCTTTGAGCTTACAGCTTATCTGGTAAACCAATCCAAAATAACTTTATAAGTTTTGTTTGTCTAGCAACTGTAAGGTGCATGATTCAAATCCTACTAATGACCCCCAAAAAAAAAAAAAAAATTGACATTATTGTGTCATTAGTGAATAAGCCTAGTGCATGATTCAAATTTTACCAATACCAGCTTGTGAAGCCCAACCCAAGTTGTGAATGTGCTCTGGGAAGCCCAAATTGTAGAGCTTGTGAAAGAGTTAGAGTTAGAGTTTGACATTTGCACGTGAAGAATGGAAAGAACTCAATAACTGGAGCACTAGTTTCATTGTGTAAAGAAATGACTTTAACTTTTCTTTCTATTTTTGTTTTCGTTCCTTAAACGGTAGGTGTTTCAAGTCACTTGATTTTTGTCACGTGTTTAAACAACGTTTCTTCCGTGCTATTTTAACAATTTTCTCTGTTTCTCTTTTTTAATATAACGAATAACAATTATATATGTAAAATATGAGTATGTGATGATGAAACACGATAAGCATTGGAGATGGAGGCAATAGTGTTGTTAGTAAGTTGGCAACCTCCCATATACATACATACGGTATGGTAGGTACATGCAATGCATTTGTGATCTGATCTAAAGCTATCCTAATTCCTAGTGGCTTTGTTAACGATGACTTGCCAAGTTGCCAACTTATCTGTAAACTGTGACGATAAAGTAGCAGTACGTGGCCTGGACCATATTCCATATATAAAATTGAGACGCCGTGCAATTGCATATACTATCTGTTACATTGTTATACAGTACAAAAAGTAATTAACAATAATATTAAATTTGTGCCAAAATAACATACCGTGTTCGCATTAACTTGTGATTTGTCAATATGGAATCAGTCATAAACCATCATTAATAAATAATAATATTATTACTATTTCTCGGACCCCAAAAGGAGTAGTGAGACATGATTTTCGTACTTAAAATTTACGAATTTGATTTTTGTCAAAATTCTCTCAATTGACGCAACATATTTTCCTATTGTTGTTAGCACCTCTCGGTTGAGTTTTGTGCGCTTCTCCTGTGCAAATAAGACCAGAATTTTCTTGTTGTACACCTTCAGATAGTCGACTAAAGATGATTTAGTGCACACTTTCATGTAATTGATTATATTGAAGATGACTTATAATTTTATATTTGAAAGGAAATAAATTGGACAAAATTTTAAATTTAGAACATAATATAATAATTATTATTATTGAATGGAGAAGTTGTTATGGCACAAAAGTAACAAAAGAAATAAGAAGGGTATATTGCTAAAAAAACAAAATCTTCCGTATAGAATTAAGTCGCTGCAGAGCATGAAACTATCAATTGCGTCATCGTGCTATCCGAACCGAACAGTTAAAGAGACTAATAACAATAATAAATTTTGCCCAAATAAAGATCTACCGTGTTGATAGAGCCTAATTTTTATATTTAAAGATCACGAGTTTAATTATATGTATAATAAATTATCTTTCTAGTATATCTTACCTTCTGTGTATATTTTATATTGGAGTTCACAGTCACTTGAAGTAGTGTATTTTATATATATATAAAATCGTATTACCATTAAAAACCGAAAGAAGATATTTTATAAATAATTAAAGAATTAAAAACAACACTAATATAATTGAGGAATAAAATTTGATATTTCTTTTTTAATAATTGAAGGGCAAAAATATATATTTTCTAATAATAATAATAATAATAATAATAAAAAATAAATAAATTAAAGTGGGTTTGGAAGGTCTTATCCAAAAATAAAAAAAAAAAAAAATTGTTAAATAGCAGATGTAAAGGCTGTTGTCTCTCCTGAATTTGGTAAAATACTACCTACAGCTGGCAGCCCTTCAATCTTCACTCCTTACTTGTCCGGTTAATAACAAGTTGCTTAAAAACCATTCTGACTGACACGTGTCGTTGTTCGATTCCCTTGAAGAATCAATTATCCACGTGTCACCACCTCAGCTCTACAACGCGTTTGCGTGCCGTATCTCAGACGGGTTGCCCCTCTGTTAAGCTAATTACTACTCCACTCCCTCACTCTCCCAGCTCTATCTCGATTCTTTAAGACTAGTTTGGTACGTGTGGGACTTGTATAAACTCTAAACTTTTGAATTGATTCTTAAACGGCACATGTACAGTTCAGTTGGTCATACGAAAAATTTAAAAATAATGACTTAATATTGTATCGAATCTATCACAGTGTGAGAATAACTTCTTAAAATGAGAGGGCTCTTTGTGTACAGTAATCAAATGTCTAGTCTCTGTATCCAGCTGAGTTACCATGATTAAGCGTGAACTTATTGTGTGCAGTAACCAAATGTCTAGCCTCTGTATTTAGCTCAGTAAGTAACTAACTATAACCGCTTGTGTGCAATAACCTAATATCTAGCCAAATGTAGCTCCTTGTGCGTAATAACCTAATGTTTAGCATCTGTATTCAACTGAGTGGAGACTCCTAATATGCAGTAATCAAATACTCAATTGAGTTACCATGATTTACGGTCTATCGGGACGTGAATACCTGTGATTCTTTACAAAAATTTAAAATTGATCTAGAATTGTTTTACGTGACCAAAAGCTTCTTGAACTTACACTTGCCACCAAATGTGGATATATCTACAAATTTCTTCTCAAAATAGTGGAATACTACTACTTCTCATGCTTTCTAGAAAATTTTTGTACTTTTATTTTTCTAAGTAGGGATACATACACGTGGCTGAGTTGAGGGAGTTTCTTTGCCGACGTTTGGACTTTATTAGGTGGACTATCTAATTTGCTTCCAATAATTAATTAATGTAAATAAAATTTGTAGATGATAAAGTTGATGTAAAAGTGAAGGAGGTTTGAAATCGATGGATGGAAATCAATGTACGAGGGTGATCCAAGTGAAAGAGAAATGGATACTTAAAATTGTCCAATTCCATAGCGCCAGTTGGCGGATACACTCTCTACTATTGTAGTAAATACAATATATATATTAGAGAAAATGACACTTTTTTCCCCTGTGTTATATGCTTATAGCACTTTTCCCCCTGGGTTATTCATGTATTCATATTTGCCCCCTCAATTATTATAGAAGTGGCGATTTTTCCCCCTGATAATATTAAATGGACATTTCTACCCTTAAAACAAATATTTTATTTATTTATCTTCTTCACCAAATTATTGCTTATACGTAGGGATGACCACGGTTCGGTTCGAACTGAACCAAACACTATAGCAATCAAATTAAAAAATTTCGGTTATGATTCATAACATAACCCAATATTTGGGTTTCCGTTTATTAAAATCGTGAACTGGAAAAAAATGGATCCTAAACCGTGAACCGGAGGTTCAAATCGGAACAACTACTAGCAATAGCTTAAATTAGAATTATAATATTTGCAAATAGTGCATGTTTTTTTCCGCATTTATATTGACTATCACATATAAGTATATATAATCGCGATTTGAGTTTTATTTTGAACCGTCGGTTCACGATTTTGGATCCAATTTGAACGGTTGGTTCAAACTTTCTTTTAATTTTTTTTTTTATTTTTAAAATATTCTAAATTTAACACTTAATGTATTTTATTTTTTCAAATCGTGGTTATAATTTGTTGGAGAAGAAAAATAAATGAAATATTTATTTTAAGGGTAAATATGTCCATTTAATATATCAGGGGGAAAACTGCCACTTAAATAATTTAGGGGAAAAAAGTGCTATAAGTATATAACAAAGGGGGAAAAAGTGCCATTTTCCCTATATATTATTTTTAAAATTAATATTTAAATTTTTAGTTTTTAAAATTATAAAATTACACTAATTTAAGATTTTTATTAAGAGTTAACCAGGGATGAAGACTATTTTCAATTTTAGTTCGGGAATGGAGACAGAGACGAGACTGAGTTGGAGTTTCAGAGGTGGATAGTATACTCCCCGCCCTGTCCCGTCCCGCGTTGGTATCCCTAATTGACCCACTCTCCATAACAACACGATTAAAACCAATCGGGGAAGAACTATTAAAACTAAACAATTACTTAGTAAGTAATTTCCAAAACTCACTCTTGCATCACAAGATTTGTTTTGAGGGCGTAGTAAAAAGAAAAAAAAATATAAATATTTACAGGGCATTTGGTTGGAGAGATTTTAAATTCTCTTTCCACTTAATTCCCACCTAATTTTAAAGACCATTAAATTCCGTAGTTTGGTTGGAGGGAATTGCATTGCAATGCAATTTCCCCATTTTCATGGAATTAAAATCCCATGTCCCCCCTGGTATTTTAATTCCTAAGAAAAAAAGATAGTGATGAGTCAAAATTACCCCTTCCTTTTTTAACCTAAAATTAATGTCTAACAACAATAATGGACATTTTTGACTTTATACTACTTATTCCCTTTCAATTCCCATGTATACCAAACATTGGAATTGAAATTTCCAGTAATTTTATTCCTGTCAACCAAACACTGGAATTTAAATTCTCACTTTATTCTCAGTAATCGACTCCCATAAAATTACAATTCCTTCCCACATAATTCCCTCCCTCCAACCAAACGCCCTGTTAATTCGGAGAGATTAAGAATGGTAATTGCAATCTTAATTACCAAACAATGAATAGGAAAGAAAAAGGGCAGTCAGTAAATTCCTAAACCTTATACGCCCTGTAATAATCTTCATTAACTAATCTCGTACTTATCCTGTTGTAATTTATTTATTTATTAGTATATGGTAGATATACTTTAAAAAAAAAGAAGATATACTTAAAAATTGTAATAACGATATTTTATTGTAAATTGGGAAATTTAAAATTTGTGGAAAAGTACAAATTAGACCAAAAAATAGTTCTTGAATTTTACTAACTTTCCCACAAGGTGAAATTCTCTATCTCAGGGCTACACCCTAACCCGTCAAAATAATAAAAATGTAAATCACGATAATTTAATGAATTTAAGTGAGAAAAGTAGTATCTAACGTCTACAAAAAATTTATTATGATAGGTATAATTATCGTACTGTTAAGACTCGATCCTGAGTTCACAATCTATCGCTCAAAAATTTGACCTTTTCCTACCACTACCATAACTGTTGTTTAGTTTGGACCGACTTTCACTTCCACCAACCTGCAAACGTGTGATCACACTCAACTCCTGCCTTTACGTATATATCTCAAAAAATACGTAATGATTTTTGATTGTTGTTATTAAAAAATATGGTGTATTTGTTTGAATTATTATTAATAAAAAAAAATAAAAGAATTCCTAATCCTGATGGGAGTATAATATTGGTATATGTATTTAGGTATAGCCTGTACAACTCCACCACCGCCTTTCCATACGCAACTTCCAACCTCTTCTGCCCTTACCTGTCTGTATATATTCTTGTCTTCAGTCCTTCACTCTCACTCAAACTCCCTTTCCTCTCTTGCTTTAGTCTCTTTCTCTCTCTCTCTCTCTCTCTCTCTTGAGTTGTTTTCTAGCGTTACTTTCCGAATTGTGGGATGGCCTTGGAGGCTCTGAAAGCGGCGGCAGCGGTGGCGCCGAAGATGCCGCCGCCGCCGCTTGGGGAGGTTGATTTTCACAGTTTCAAGAAGAGGCGGTCGTCTAAGCGCCCCCGCACTGAGAGCCCGCAGCCGTCGCAAAGTGAAGAGGAGTATCTGGCGATGTGTCTTGTTATGCTTGCTAGGGGGGAGGAGCCGCGGAGGAGGATCGTGGCTGAGGAGGCCGCCGGGGAAGCGGAGAAGGAAAGTGAGGAGGCTACTCCGCATCCTCCGCCGCCGTCGCCGCCGAAGTCGGTGCAAGAAACCGTTCAAGAATACAAGTGTAGCGTGTGCGACAAGGCGTTCGCATCTTATCAAGCACTTGGTGGGCACAAAGCCAGCCACCGTAAATACGCCACCGCCGCCGCCGCGGAAGACAACCACCCCTCCACGTCAACCTCCGTCACGGCGGCGGGTGCTCTGATCCCCAGCGGCAAGCCCCACGAGTGCTCCATCTGCCACAAATCCTTCCCGACAGGCCAGGCTCTGGGCGGCCACAAGCGCCGCCACTACGAAGGCAAACTGGGCGGCGGCGGCAGCCGCAGCGGCACATCCTCCGATGGCGCCGTTATCTCGAGCCGCACACCCCTGGAATTCGACCTCAACGAGCTCCCACCCTCACCGGAGCTAGACCTTCGCCTGAGCATCGACTGCGGCCAGCCAAGTCAACCAACTACCGGCGACCATGAAGTAGAAAGTCCGATGCCGGCAAAGAAACCGCGCTTATCCTTCCCAGAAACCGCCTAATTCAATTTCAAAATATTATTATAGTTACCAAATTCTTCATGTACAGAGAGTTAGAGTAGGCCATTGATTTTAGCTCTTCTCTCTTTGTTATTACCATGCATTAATTCATTCATTGAATTGGATATTTCTTATTGGTTTGGTTAATCGGGTAATTACTTATAATTCCATTTTAATCAATCAATCCTCTAATGTTCCTTCTAATTACGTGTTTAATTTAATTCGTGGCCGTGATACATGCGATTCGGTAGTTGCCCATGTGCTATGTATGTATATGCCCCATTGCACGTTCTGTTCATTACAATCATTAGTTCATTACTAAGATTAGCATTACACTTAGTTGTCAATTTGTTTTCTATTTCAGCCCGTAACTAATTTTCTCTAATTATCATCCTTCCATAATTTCAATTAATTGAAAGATATATGCTTAATTGAAAGATATATGCTCGTATGGGCAGTTTAATTGGTCACAGAGGTGAAACTTAAGAACAATAATTCGAAATTAAGTCAACTAATAAACATCAGAATTTTGTGATTATTAAGTCTTCTGTCTAACTAACTTGACGAAGAGTGGTTATGGTTTTTATTTTAATTTTAATTTTTTTTTTTATAACCGTAGGGTGTTGGTGAAAATTAAGATTATATTCGAAGGGAATTTTGGTGTACCACTATACGCGGCGGAGAAATTCCTTGACTTTTCATTATTTTAATTTTTTTTTAGTGAATAAATTTGATTAGGAACTGTTAGTGGAAGCAAAATCCTAAGAATTAATTAATTAATTAATTAATTAATTATGGTGGTTGTTTGTCAAACGAGAGAAAGCGTATGAACGGGGACCAGGCTAAGTCGTGTGGATCTGGAAGTCACGAGTCGCAGGAACAACGCGGCGGCTGCGATCGACGGCCACGTACGAGACCACGCTAGCTAGCTATTTTACTTTTCTAAGTTTCCGACGACCTATGACGGCGGCGGCGGCGGTTCATTGCTTGGGGATAAAGTAAGCTGAAAATTAGGGAGTTAATTACGTTTTAATTAGCCAGGCATTGCTTGCTTATTTAGCACCATAGAAGCAAGCAAGGGATAGCACCTACCTAGCTTCCCGGGTTTTTGTGCTTTACGTGCTTTAACAGTTTAAGGTTATGTCTTTGGGAATGTGATGCACGCTTGCACGCACATACAACGTGGAAAAAGAAAATGAAAATAATAAATCTTATTTTTGGAATAGGGCTAGTAATTACAAGATTATGGCTCTGTTTGGCAGAGCTTATTTAGGAACTTATAGCTTACATTTATCAGCTTATCAAAAAACTAATTTTACCAAACACTTTCAATCATAACAGCTAGCTTAACAGCTCTTCAGTTTTCAGTTTCGAGCTTATAGTTTTTTAGCTTTCAGCTCTTAGCTTATAGTTTTTCAGCTCTTAGCTTATAGCTTTTCAGCTCCTAGCTTATAACTTTTCAGCTAGGTTTGCCAAACAGAGCATATAAGTTTGATTTACAGTGAGAGTGATCTATTGATTTTATAAGCTAACTTTTTTGGTTTGAAACACTCAGCTACAAATTTCCAGTTAGCTTTCTCAGTTTGAACTAGTTTCACACACACATTATTTGTTTTCTTTTCTTGAATTTTCATTTCTCTACATTTAAAAAAAAAAATTGGATTAGTAAATGAACCCAAATCTTACAAAATCTGAGGACAGAGCTGTATTGAGAAGAGGCCTGATTACCAACCAACACTATGGTTCCAGTGAAATTTTCAAAGATACCAGCTGGGCATTAACTTCATTTATTTTCATTAATCAATGATTACTACGTGTATTAGTGTGAAGAAGAGCAGTATCTACTTGAGAGATTGGTAGGTGGAATTTTTCAACTGCCACGGATAGTAAGTGAAACCACTCTATTGATAACTGATAACCATTTGCTAACAGACAGACACAGCATTCTAGTTTCATAGGCTTTAGACCAAACTTGTTTGACTCTACACAACAAAACTTGTACTCACCATTACTTCCCACTTTACTCTACAAAACACCATCAGTTGGTTACTAAGACTGCTGCATATATGCTTGTCTTGTTCCAAGAATTCCATTACTGGTTGGGACTTTGTGGTGTTGGTCAACATCCCCCCTTTCTTTTTTGTTAGGAATGGATTTCTTGTGAAAATGGGTGCAGTGTCTTTTGGTTATGATACCCGATATCGGTTATCCCCTCTGGGTTCAGCTTAAGTCGTGTCCATAGTGACTACAAAAGTTGATCGGGTAAGGCTTGACCCAGAGCTATTCAGTATGATAGTCAGTTCTCTGACCTTACAGTTGCATTGGCAGCTCACTTGTCAATTGTTTCGAGCTGTTGAGTTGAATGAGTGCTATATTTGGAAGGATCAAAACTTTCTCAGTCACACACATTTTATTGACATTCTCTTTGCCATAAGTCACGTGACCATCAATTCTCTAACCTTGCGGTTGCATTGGCAGCCCAACTGCCAATTGTTGAGTTGGATAAGTGTAATATTCGAGAAGATCATAACTTTTCCAGTCACATTTTTATTGATATTCTCGCTCTTGCCCGCAATCTACCACTTAAGAACTAACCACTGAGTTGTCCGTGCGGGCATTCTCTCCATAGTTTCACTATCACTTAAGCTGCCACACTCCTGCAATACTTCCTACTTCTGTCATCACCAAAACACAACTCATCAACTGACTTATCTACCACCTGATTCTTTGTCAGTCCCTCCTCCTAGTAGCTTTCATCACTCTCAACAACACCAAAACTTTTGACACCCCATTTTAATTTCCAAATGCACTGCCATGTTCATCAGGAATGTTTGGCCGGTGAAAATTAAGTAATACTCCTAGCAAAATGGCACTGCAAGCTAAGAAACAACCTTTGCTGAAATGCCAACATTCTCAGCACAATAACAACTGATTTACAAGTCATTTGCAGTACAGGGAGGGTTTAATTTAGACTTCATCAAATGATAATTCATATAGAGTAATGGGTCAAGTTCAGCTAGGAATATGGGGGTTCTCACTTTCACTTTTGTCTGTGACAACAAATGAGAAAAGGGAAACTCTGGTGCCAAAAAGTTACAATCTTCAATCTTGATTCCACCTTTGGTTGCCATCCACTAAGGCATATACATAATTCTCTGTCCAAAGAGAAGTTGCCATTCTGATAAGGTATAAACACCATTTTGGTTCATTTCAGTGAAACTAATGACCTCCCTGCAGAAGCTATTAAATTTGGAAGTTGGGAAATGCTATGTTTGGTAATGTTTCTGGTCGACCCGGTGCAAATAGGGATCACTCTGATGTTTCCCTGCAGAAACACCATTTTGGTTCATCTATTTGATGTTTCAAAGTCTGCAACAACTAACTAATACAAACACAATAACAATAATGTCAAAAGGCTCCTTAATTAGGCCAATCAGGTCCAAATAAGGATCAGTCTAAGTATAATACGTTTGTACGGGGTTAAAGTGACTCCTATAATTAGGGGTTACTTAGGATATACCTCGTTGTGTAATAAAAAGAAATAATAATGTCAAAATGCTGCCGGATTTTGTCTGGAATCTGGTCAGTGAAAGGCTTAGATTCGTCGGAAATTCTTCGGTCTGTCAATAGAAGCAAAATCCACACCTTTAAGAAGGCAAAGGCATTCAGTTTTGTTCAAGTTCTATCAGCTGTCTGATATGCATATACATGTAAACAAATCTCCTACAAATGCATAGTGAATTTCTAGCTCAAAGATGGTATTGAGGATACCAATTTCTTGCCGACAACATAGACCAACATAATATGTTTCTATGTACCATCCATTAAGTCTAGACAGACTAGACACATTATTAATATATGATCTAAAATTGAAACTTAAGATCATAAAGATAACATTTCTTATTCGAATACTTGAAAATTTTAAATGTCAACTCAATCACATGAATGTTGATTGATGGATACTTACTAGGGCGGCGGCTTTGGTTAGTTAGCTGGAGGACGTAGTTTGTCTACTAGATATTAGAAGGACATCTAAATAGGCGCTTTAAAGATAGAAGATCCATTTTCATATTCACCCCATAATTTCATTTTTCGATCTGGATCTAAGTATATATCTCACGTTTTAAGAAATAAGTCCAAACTTGATTTAGGAAAGTTTCCTAAGTTAAAATAATTGTAAACATTTTCCTTTCTTCTTCTCCCAACATTTTTCTTTATTTTCTTTGAATTAACTATTTTCTTTGAATTAACTGCCTATGTATAAATATTCTCATAAGTACATTGTAAGGAGTTTGATTATTATTTTCTGACAATAAAATTGTTTCTAAGCTATTTTCATATTATTTACAGTAGTATTAGTCTGCCAACCAAATAGCTAGTAGCTGTAAAATCAACATTAATAAAAATAGATATCATGTTTTGATACAACATATATATTTCTTGGTGGGATATTATTACTGGCTTCTTAGATTGGCTCCATAAGCGTGTCAAACACCACTTGTCTCTCTAATCCATGGAGGGACAATCTTAAAAAAAGAAAAAGAAAAAAGAAAAAAAAGAAGTGGATAGTGTTATAGTTTAACTAAGGTGACGAAGGGGCCAAATTGTCCATTTAAAAATTTTCCCCAGACTAGCTCAGCTTACTCCGGTGGTCCCATCCCCATATAATGGAAAACAAGATTATAATACACAATAATAACTCGGATAAAATTTAAGATATTTATCAACATGTATAGTCGATTTGTGAATCGGGTACAAATTTTTTAGTCAATTTGAGCCAAGTACGTGAGTCCAGGTACTACGACAATGGAGTAGGCACCTTAGAACAACCCTAATAGGAAGTTCATTCATAACTTTTGAAACAATAAGATCTCCTTTGTTAAGTTTTTAACAAATGGGAGTGGTGAATTTTGAAATTTTTTTTCTCCTGCAAGAAAAAAAAGTTGTCAGCAAGCTGTGCCTGGGCTGCACATTTGCACCCAGTCGGGCACATTTAGAGCCTGTAATTTTATTTTTTATTTTTTGAATTTTGCTGACATTTGGTTGCTTCTTTTTTAACCCCCTTCCCTCATTTTCTCTTTCCTAATCACATATACAAAAACTCTCCAAAAACCACACCAAAACCCTTACTATTGAGGATGCCCTTATGAGATAGAGGACCTTTTGGCTCAGGACACGACAAGCGTGTCAACCAAAGAAATGAACTATAATCATACAGAAAATTTGAAAAGAAGCCCAAAAAATATATGCATCTATTAAATTTTGGAAGCCTAATTCAGTGGCAAGAGAAACTTTCAGTCAGTATTCAAAAGTATACACTAAGTCCTTTTTTGGATGACAACAGAAAACCTGCAATCAATACTCTAGGATTTATTCAAATAGTCCATAAATTACATGTGAGAGGTGAACCATATTTAAAAAAAAAAAAAATTATATACCACATATTTAACTATTTTTTTAACATTTAAGTATGAAAATTAAACCGTATTCTATCCACCCTATCATTCTTTTTGGGTCAAAATTCAATTCTTTCATGGCTTGGAATCCCATCCTCATAGTTTACAGGTAACAAAAATTCCAATGTGGTCCACATAGGAATGAAGATAGATGCCACGTACTAGGCTCAATATCTGCAACTCCAATGAATCTTTGTTTGTCTGCCTCTTGTAACCCTCTATACTTTGGAAGTTACGATTTAATTACTCTAAGCTCTATCATAAGTAATCCGATAATATTAATAATTAATTAAAGTTGTGGTTGTTAATTAACCAGGCTTGCCCACACTACCTAGTCAGCTTTGGCCTTGTCTTACCACCTAATCCAATGAATTTGGTGCCTTGCTTTTAAAGACAAACGCAAGTAATTAAGATTGTCATTAACCTTTGGAGTGTTTGATTAGTTTATTGTAAACGCAGATAGGAATGACCTAATAATTCTTAACAGGATAACATGTTCTAAGTACTCCAAAGTGAGTTTTTGTATTAATAATATCAAACTTTATGATCATATTTTATCGCATGTCCAATGCAAAATAATAATAATAATAATAATAATAATAATAATAATAATAATAATAATAATAATAATAATAATAATTTGACAAATGAAAAGTGGTTAAAAACCTAAGTCGATCAGGTACGTTTGTAGTGATAATAATTTCTCATTGACTCTGTAGAGATTCCCAATCTCTTCTCTAATTGAGATGGGGACCAAAATTTGAAAAATAGGGATGAAAATACCCTTTCCCGCCTCGTCCAGGTACATTAAATTTAAAATTATATGTGTGTGTGTGAAGAATTAAATACTTAAGTATTAGACTAATATTTGAATTTGATAGTTTAAATTAAAATTTTAATATTTAGCACAAAATATATTTTCTAACTAGATTCAGTCATGGGCTCATGGGGTTTGCAATTTATTAATAACTAATCATAGATTGATGACATTATTCCCATGCAATAATTGATCCTTAAACCTTATTAGATAGAGGATCATGTCAGCCATCTTGGAAATACATTACCTCTTTCAAGTTAATTCATTAATTAAATATTGAAATAAATTGTAAATATAAATGGGATATATATAAATAATTAAAGCAAGGTGGAAGTGGGGGATAGGCTTTTGTGTATAAGATGATAGTGAGGGATGAGTCATAGACCTCGAAGAGAAAGCATATATATACAAGAACAACAATAATATATAGATGGAGAAGGAATCTTACCTAAATGTTGCTACAAAATTATATTGCATCATATCTTTACATGCTCTTCAAAAGGCATTTATGGCATTAAGGTTGGAGATGATAATGATGAGTACATATCATGCTAGCTAGCTAAGGGTGCCCCTTTTCATCAATTATATGCATTTCACAACTATTCCTAGGTAAAATGAAATGTGGATTAATAATGTTCCAATTTCTTTTGATGGTAGAAAAAATATAACATATTTTTTTTCCCTATTAAACATATCTTGATCGAGTTATTCACCGCTTGTTACATGGTAGATACATACTTTAATTATATATATATATATATATATATATATATATATATATATATATATATAAAAGAAAGAAAGAATGTATATTTTTTAATAGTTAAAATATGATAAATTTTAACCCGATAGTGTGGTTGACAAATGACAAGTAGATTGCTAATGCACTTACAAGGCTCGTAGTTCATTCACTAGCTAAGAGTCAAACTTTGCTAAATCAATCTAGTCGAATCCAAATTAGTCTCATAATCCAAATTTGTTGGGTGATAAGGAAAACCCACAATCACTACTCGACGGTATATATTGAGTAAACTTAGTTTTGTAATCCTAGTCGATAAAAGATCAGAAGAAAGTAGACGAGTTTATCTATGATTGGTTGTCTGGTTCAAACTAAAAAGGTCAATAGGCTGTTTGCGAATTTTTTTTTTAAGAAACAGTTTACTTGTGATTTTTTACTAGCACAAAGTAAACTTCAAATAAAACAAACATTCAAACGGTTGTAAGATTTCTCATAAATCAAAGTTTGGATTTTTGTTTTTTCTCTCTCAACGTGATAGAATATGAATCATGAAGTTTGAGGTTGCGTGTTGTGCACCCTGTAAACCTGTTAGGGCTCATCCGATTATGTTGGTACCTACTAATCTCTTTAATTCATGGATCAAATCTATTGATATAATATGAATCTGGGAAGTGCATACATCTCATTTAAGCTGAAAATGGTCCTGTTTGATAAATGACCGTTAGTTGATAACATTATCTGATCGTAGAAATGTGTTTGGTAAATTAGCTGTTAGCTGATAGCTGTTTGATATAATTTCTTTTCACTTGTTTGCCATATGTATTGAAATACGGTTAACCTGCACCACTCGAATGTACTTAGCTGTCAAAATAAGTGTTATTCAGTTCAAAAAATTTGTCTCTTGATGAATATGATGGATTCTATGAACACATTGATATTATTATAAATTAGTGGTGGCACATATGAATCCTGCAATCTCGATTAAACAATTAAACAATTGCGATTTACATGGAATGAATGGACTTTCATGGGGTGCAAGCCATATAAAATGGTTGTTGTGAATATTATCTCAAAATTAAACTTTAATAAGATCAAAGGTTCCATCCTTAACATTAGGTATAGAGCATCCTTAGATCACATGCAACAAAAAATTAAAACTTATCGGAAGAACAAAATGAAAATAGATTCCTCAACAACAACAAAAGTCAAAGGTAGAAGGGAAGCAGTCTCCCTTCCACCCAACCCATTCGCGGAGACACGGAGCCGCTCGCACTCACCCAATTACTTTGGAACCCACCTTACCACTACCCAATATTATTCATTTTCACTTGTCACTTGTCACTTGTCACACTCATCCCTGCCACCCAAACCCTAAACCACGCCCATGGTCACCCATTAACTCTGGTTATTCAATTCTCCACATCCCAACCTCACTTTCTCGCTCTATATATCTCCCCCATCCCTCCCCTTTTCCTCTCCTAAGATAAGATCAATACTGGGTTTTAATTTTCTTCTTCACCTCCGCCTTCTCTGTTTGAGGTTTCATATTTTTTTAAGGTTGCCGGAGTTAGTTGGGATCGTTACTGGTGCCGCCGATGAGTTGCAACGGCTGCCGGATTCTTAGAAAAGGGTGCAACGATAATTGCATACTTCGACAGAGTCTCCAAGGGATCGAAACCCCGCAGGCGCAAGCTAATGCCACTGTTTTCGTCGCCAAATTCTTCGGCCGTGCCGGCCTCATGTCTTTCCTTTCCTCCGTTCCCGAATCCCAGAGACCAGGTAACTTCAATTTCCCCGAACTGGGAACCCAAACAAAACGGTCGATTTCTGGTATTTATGTGATCTTTTATTAAACTTTTGCAGCGTTGTTCCAATCCTTGCTTCTAGAAGCGTGTGGAAGAACTGTGAACCCGGTTCACGGCGCCGTGGGGCTACTATGGACCGGAAACTGGCACGTTTGCCAGGCGGCCGTGGAGGCGGTGCTGCGGGGAGGAACGCCGCGGCCGTTGCCGGAGTACACAATCCCGACGCCTTCGCAGGAATCCGACGAGGTGGCAGGCGATCTGGATCTAGGCCTGACGACGGCTGCGAGGATGACCGGCGGCGGGAGGGGCTACCGGCGCGTTGAGAAGAGGAGGGCGGACACGCCGTCGGAGGAGTCGGAAACCTCAACCTTGGAAAGCGGTTTTGTGTATCATCTAAGTTCACACCAATCTTCTGAAACTAATCTTCTCAGACTCTTTTTCTGAAAGCTAAACCAGTTTTCCGAGAAACCTTGGAACTATACTGTAGTTTCTTTGTCCCACTTCTTTTTCTTTTCGTGGACTTTAAGAAAAGTGCCTTAAAAAATGTTCTCTCAGATCATTTTACCTCTCAATTAAATGTAAGCTTTTCTTTGACATTAATTTTTGTTACCTCAAATAATTTGGTATCCCACATCTCCAACCAATTCATTAGTACCCAATTACATAATCTATAATTTTTTATTTACAGAGAAACTCATTCAAAATGCTCTGAATGATGATCTAATTGTTCATAGCTCACTCATTTACTACCTAAATCAATATAAATTATGTATAACATGGCCATTCACCGTTGGTGGGTTGGGGTGATTTAGAGATTGTTGAGTTTAAAATGTTGACCAAGTTAGGGGGGGCAAGCAGAATCCCAATAAAAATCAACATAGTATTTGGCAAATATCACACTCCCAACAATTCGTTTCTTCGTTCGAGGCACGCCACACATTGGGCTGTGTTACGGCGTTGTCTGCTGTCTCCCGGTCGGCCAATTCTTGGCCCATTCACTGCTTTTCTTATTGGGCTTTCACCTACCCAACTTCCAACAAGTTTTTATGACTTCTTGGCTTCTTTGAATCCCCAACCCAAACGTTCCCGTTCCGGCCCGATAGAGTATTTAGAAGAAGATTACCAACTGAATTACAGAGGCTAGACATTTGCTTACTGCACACAAGAAGTCCCCTACACTGTCGCTGGTGAGATTCGATCCCGGATCATTCTTCCCAAACTTCACCCTTATGACTAGTTGAGCTGTCCATGCGAGCTTCTTGACTTCTTTTTTGCTCACACTTTAGGGTGACTCAGCGATTTATTAGATGAGAAGATTATTCTTACTCAAAATCTATCATTCAGAAATTAATTGAGGTACTCATTACATTTTATGACTTCTAGTCTAGTTGAGCTCGGGGTTTAAATAGTTATAGTTACTAGAGTTTAATACTCGAACTTAGTTCTATTAGTTCGAAATATATAGTTCACGAACAGTTTGACAAGTAACAAGCTGAAATTTTTTTAAATTCAATAAGTTTTGACCAAGTGATTCGTGAATGGCTTGTAGGGTTTGCACCCTACTCCGAGATTCCAACATATTAAAAGAGAAAAGGAAAAAAAAAAAAAAAAAAAAAAAAAAAAAAAAAGCATGACCTTAATCCGAAACAAACAACTGAAATGCTGCTGCCAAGTGATTTTACAATATGATGTTTCACCATGAAAATCTGCACAACTGAAAAGCACTTGCAGAGAAAAAACACACAAGCCACTTTCAACACCAAACCACCACCACTAGGTGAAATTAAGAAAACCAAAAAAAAAAAAAAAATCAAAAGAAAAACCTAACTAAAATTTTACATTGTCATATATACACACATCAGCTTTTCTAACTTTTTACTACACAATCAAAGAAAAAAGATTAGTATGAATACAGATATCAGTGAGACAGGAAAACACTTGCTCAATATTCAGATGAATTCATGCAGGGGAGTTGTGTTCCAAAAAATGGCAATGCAAAGCCAAAAGCGGCACTTGGTTGCTTCCAAACTCCACCTCCATCGAGGACGAAAGGTTTGATGAGTGTTAGAATTTGTCCAAAAAAGACCATCTCTTCTACACAGGTCGGTTTTGTCAGGATGTTGATATATGGTTATGTTGTAATACGTGTGTTCTCAAACTACAATCCTTAACCTGTAGTGTTCGATAAGTAAGAACAGAGGAAATTCATTAAAGTGAAGTGAGCAGAAAAGATGGAAAAGGATAGACTGACAGAGGGTCGGGTGTATTCACCTGCATTATGGCTAGCATAGACAAGAGATCTTTGCATTCTTCAAGCAAAGCTCGCTCCTTTGTTGATGTTTTAGTAAGTTCAGTCACCGATGAATTTGCTTCCTCCACCTGAAAATGTGACTAAATTTAATGTGCCTATGAGAGAAAGAAGGGATAGGTCTTGATGTTGCACGCCACCACTATGTGTGGTATTTTTCTTTATCTTTTTTTTTTTTTTTGAGTACTACTGACTCTGTTACTATGTAGTATCTGTTCATAACTACTTTCTCAACCTACTAAAGGGATAGCCACTTCGTGTCACTAGACCACAAGGTCATTGGCTTTCTTTATCTTTATTCATTCCATTTTCATATTTGCTCGTTCTTTTGTTGTTTTTTTTTCCATCTAACCAAACCTATACATCAAGAATTGACATCCGGAGGATGTGCCAATACACATTCTACTCTAACTCGAGACTAAAACTATGGCATCTATACTCGACATCTTTAGCAAATGCAAAAACATATATCAAGGGAAGCCAATAGATTAATTTCCGATAAGTCAAGGGGAAAGGAGTGTTGAAGTTAGAAAATTTAGATTACCTTTGCTGAAAGTGAACAGATCGAGGATCCCATTGCCTTCATCACGTCAACTGCTGAACCAATAGCCTCCTTCAAGCTCTGGGCATCAGCCTGTTAAAATCAAGAACATTATTGTATTTCACCAAACAGCATTTCACCAATATGGATAAAGGGAACAAAGTAGGCACTTACAATTGCTCCGGCAACAACTGGAAGTCGAAGGGTGTTAGACTTCAAAGATTCAATTGCACCTAGTACAGATACAGAGTGTTCTTTATCCAATAAAGCCCAATCTTCTAAATACGAAATCTGCACAAGAAAGTAATAACTCAAGTTAACAAAAACAGTTGACCGGGCTGAAGCCATTCAAATTTGTTTAATGATAGCAAGAAACGCAGGCTAAAGTGAAAATAACAGAACTGATTGGCAATAGTCTACATAGCAGAAACAAACAAAAGTAAGATACAAATGAAGAATGTTTTCAGTTCTTAATTCATTTAATTATTTGCAGTGAGAACTAAAAAATCACAGGAAGAATACCATTGCATAAAGGCAAAAAGAAGAATCTATGTGGAAATTAGAAAAGAAAGCGTACTTGTCCCTTCAGAATGGATGCGAGCTTCAATTTTTGCCTCAGCAATTGCAACCTGTGTCTTCTTTTAGTGACTGTATCTCGCAGGTCCGAGATTTTTATCCACGAATTCCATAGATCTTTCTGCACAAAGTAAAACGATTTAGTTTATCCACTACACTTTCGAGATCGAGCATAGAGTAAAAGCATACTATCTTTACCTCTGCGGTGTGAGTCTGCACATTCAAAGCGGTTTCAGTCCTAGCATTAATGAATCGCCATTGCAAATGTCGATTATAAAGAAGCCTCAAGAGGTGTGCATCCACGATCCGGTTCTCCCCGACCTTCCCCCTCCGAACGTCCACAGCAAAGCTAAGAACCGAAGGGGCCTCGTGGAAGCTACTAGCAATGGTGCTAACAGCATTTCTCACACGAGATGGACTGAGCATTATTCCCCGGGAGGGAGATGATCCTAGTGGCGTCATTACTTTGCTCGGAGATGCGGGCCGAATGGCTCCACGAATAGGCGATGACACGGGAACATCACTCGGGTACTTTCTCAGCCTCGGCTGCCCAACCAATTTCGATCCAGAATCCTGCAACCTCCTCAACCTACTATTAGTTTCTTGCCAAAATCGAGCTGAAACGATCCCACAAGGCGGCGTTTGGCCGTGAAACGCCGCCCCGCCACATTCTTGCACTCCTGAAGTACTACCAGAAGAAACACTGTCTGTATCAGATAATGTAAGATCAGAGGGCACAGATAACTCAGTATTATTCACTAAGCTCTCATCTAAACCCTGATTTGCAGCTGAGAAAGATTTGGCATTCCCCAAATCAAGGCTCAATCTACTATCAACTGAAAGGATAACATTCCGAGATCCAACAACCTTGCTCGTTTCACGGCAATCTAAACTCCTTGACAAATGATTTCCTTGCCGGGACCTCGCCGGCCACCGCTGCTGATCGGAGGGTTTAGAATTCTCGAATTGATCTCCTACTCCTCTTACCGGAGTACCAGTCCTCCTCCTCTCCGGCGTGCTCTTCCTTATACTGCTCAAATTAGGCGACGGCGGAGCCAATTTTGTCTTACTAATTGGTAGGGAAAAAGCCTCCCCTTGAAATGAAACCGATAAGCTCCGAGTAGAAGTGACCAGGAGCTTGGTAGCGGCGGAAACTTCACTCCCATTGCCGACATTCAAGTCGAGATCAGGCTTTAGCGGCCTGGAGACTCCGGAGCGGCGCCGATCCACCGAAACGGACCTTCTGGGCCCGGAAGACGGCGGCGCGTTCGACGAAGGGGTGGAGTTTCTCGAGACTAACGGGGACGGGAATCTTCTAGAGATTGAAGAGGGAGTGGAAGGAGAAGGCGTCATGTACCTAGAAGCGACTACTCTAGCTTTGGGACGTCTGTTATTACTGTTACATCCATTGTTGTCCTTCTCCGACGGCAACAATGGCGGCCTTCTCTGCTCATTCTGCGCCTCATCTCGCGAGCTGATTTTCGTGTTGTGCGTTGAAGCTGCTCCCGAAATAGCAGCCACCATCATCACAAAACCTCACAAAAACACGCCCTAATAACTACAATTCGCTTCCCACATTGTAATTCTCCCCAGAAAAACCCAACATTCTCTCTGCTTTTGTGTACTTGTTCTCAAGATTCTTGAAATTTGTCAAGTGAAAATGTGGAGTTTTTCCCGGGAACCAGAGAAGAAGAGGCGCCCCTGACCCTGAGAGTGAAAGAGAGTTTGTTTGTTCATGAAGAGAAGAAGGGTAAGATTTGGGGACACACAGTTCCTGCATCCTCTAAGAACTTTGGACAGACGTTATGCTAATTGCTAACCAAATCACAAATTTTTCCATTAATTATTTCTTAATCATCATTTTTACTTAGCTCTTTTGCAATGAATTTTAAAATAATAATAATAATAATTTTGCCAGTTAAACACTGCAAACAGTGACTGAAGCTAGTTGATGATGCTCACCTAACTTCACTTCAAACCCCTATACTCAAACAACTTTCTAAAAATAAAGATTTTAACTATACTCTGTATCCAACTCGGGTCCGCCAGAACATTTGGGAGAATGTAAATTACGATAAGAGATAGGACATAATCTCCAGGCCTGATAGAGCATTTGGATGATGTAAACTAGAGTGACTCAATCGTTCAACAGACAGGGCCAAATGCTGGTGGGTACAAGGAATCTGTCACTTTGGACATAATTCTTCAATGGCTCAGCAGACAGGGCCAAATGTCTCTGGGTACAAGGAATCTGTCACTTTGAACATAATCCCAACACTACCGCCATTGTCGAGATTCAAAATTTGGTATCTTTTTTCAAATACTGACTACTGAACTATTGAGCTAAGCTCGTGAGGGTAAAGTTAAATTATGTGTCACGACATTAGTAGTACAAGATCTTACTCCGTAGATACCATTATGTTTACCAGCTTTGACAGGACAGTGGGCATTAGACATGCTTTGAAATCATTGCTGCAATTGTTGGGAGAAGCAGACAAGAAAGGGAAGTACAGAAATGTAAACATTCTACTTTTGGATTTAGGTTAATTACAAGGTTAAATTAAAGCATGTTACAATATAATGGTGAACAGATAGATTCAAATGGTCAAACCCATGAAGATTCCATGCCTATTAAGCTACTAATATAGGTCAGTTATAAATTTTTCTCTCAATTTCAATTCAACTCTCCCTGCAAGACTAATGCCCAGTTCTTGGGCAATTCAACAACATTTTTTTATATGGCTGCTAGTTTAACTAATTCTATCTACCCACTTTGAGCTGCCAAACCAACTCTTTTAAAAAATAAAAATAAAAATTGAGACCATCCAACAATTATATATTATTGTCTAAATTTCCGAGGGTTAAAGATATAATTTTAGGACAGTTAATTAATTAGTAAACGGATTGCTAATTTAACTATAGGATTCGAAGAGTCATGAACTAAATCTGATTTGTGGGTGTAATATATTTTAAAATTAAAATATAATGTGTTGGGAGAAGTTGATACACAAAGTAAGTAGAGAATAGGTTGATCTATATGCTGACCTCTCAAGTTGAGTGTGAATAACCTATATTGGTTCAAGAAGGCTCAAAGGTCCTTTTCTATAATCATAATTTCTTTCCCTTGAGTAGTAGTAAATTAGTAATAATGAAAGCATAAAATACATTATACTACACATACCTCTATTGAAAATGAAAATACAATTTAATTGCATTCATGTAGAGTACCTGACAAGAGAATATCACATTATACCAGTCGGTATCACCTCATCAGACAATTTTTTTGAGCGTATTTAATTAACTTGTAACATGAATATAATTTGTATTTCGATCTACCCGCTTTGGCTTGCCCCGTCCCGCCAGCTTGTATTAACAGAGACGTAAGAAATTTGGAAGAATTAAAACGTAGGGTGAAGTAAATTTAGGGTTTGAAAAGCTAGATAGGGGAAGAATTTTGTAGGGGCATGAGATCACAAAATAAAGCTAGGGTTCAACTTCTCTACTGTTGAAGAAAGCTGCACTTATAAGGACAACCTTAGCAGCTTGCCTTGTAAAATTGGCAAGCTTTTCCTAAGACAATACCTATGTTATTATCATAATCCAACCTGTCTTTTTGTATTATTACTGCTTTTTTAGAAATTAATGATCTAATTTTGTGATTAATTTATATTATATGTCTAGATATAGGATGAACCATCCCACTCATCACCGTCTCTTCACCCCTATGCTTCCCTTGCTTTTAACGCAAGTTTATTAGTCCATATGTTCAATTGTTTCTTCCTCTTGCATCTTCTCTTTGTGCTCTTCGCCACTCCCTTTATGGGATAAATAACTGTTAGTTGATAGCTGTTAGATCTTTTTCCCTCAAAAGGTTGAATCCCCAATTTCAACAGTTTCATACTTCCACCTGATAGAACATTTGGAAAAATGTGGGGCCAAATGCTGGTCCGCTGCCGAAATTTAAACTTTGATCTTTGCTGTCAAATATTGTCTACTGAACCAGTGAGCTAAACCTGTGCGCCGCGATTAGATCTTTCAAGATGGATGGACACTATTTGTTCACACTTCTCAAATTCTTATTTGAATAAGATTTTATATATATGTGGTCCAATTGAAAGGGCATATATATGCAGATAGAAGTAGTCTATAGTGGCATTGGGTTTAATTTTAATTTATTGTGAAAAATTGAATGTGTAAGGAGGTGTGGGGAAGCTCTTCAATTCCACCATCATATATATCCATCCTTCCTTTCTTCAATAAGCATTATAGCAACCCGTGAGTCGTGAACGCCATTCATTGTTTTTATTACGGATCTGATGCACCAACAGAAGTTGGTGAAATATATATCCACTTATGTATATATATACACACTCTCTACAACTTGCCCATACACTTGTGGCATCATTAATTACATCTACGTATTGAGTAATGTTAATAGTCTGTTTTGAATGTCGAGTGATGATAATATTATGCTTCGTTAGTAATTGTAGTGTGCAATTAGGATCTTATCAACGAAAGCAGTATATTTAATTTGTCCAATTAAAAAAAAAAAAAATTGTGATACTTGAAGTATATGTTTCAATTTACTCCACCAAAACGTATTATAGGGTAAGGGCATGTGAGGATTCTCGGAGTTGAGGTACAAACCTTTGTTTCAAAGTACAGGTCCCTAGTAACATGTGGGCAACTAGCCAAGTTTATAGGGATAGTAGGTTTGATAACCAATAGGATTCTAAGTTTGATTTTTCGTGAGAGCTATCTATTGGTCTTATTGGTTTGAACTGATCAACTATATTTCTATATATATGGACAACCCTCATTACTTCCTTTGCCACCTAGGACCATAAGGCAAGCCTCCGCAGAATGCAACTTCGGGTAAATAAGATTCACGGCGTATTTTACTGACAGGCATAATGTCCGAGTTCAAAATCTTACTGAATGGAGAGTATAAATTTGTCTGATTGTGAACACAAGTGCACAAACATTTTAAGAAATTTAACACCGTTAAACATATCTTGTGATTCAGTTTTCCCTAACCAGAACTCTCAAATTTAGGACACAAATTAACTTTTGTATATATAGCCAAAGTAAAGTTGAAAAACAAGAAGAAAAAAAAAAAAAAAAGACTTTTGCTCATATACAGAGGCAAACAAGAGCCCATATGATTGTTGTTTTGGATGAATGTGACAAATGTTTTTGGGACATACAAACATGGCAGTGCACGTGTTTCGGTCACTGAACGTCTCTGTTAACACAGGGTGTCTGCCTATCTACATGCATGCATGTCAAACATATATAACCTTAATTAACATTAAACTCAGACTTAAGTCGAAAGTATGTATATTTGTTGGATGGGTTTTCTCATATTTTACAGTGGGTGGTGGTGTTGGATGGGTCTCTTTGTTAATACTACTAATTAAAAGCTGTGGCGATCTGATTAATCCATCACGTTTTTGCACTTTTAGAAGAAAATGATGATGGTGGATTGATTGAAAAGTCACTCAACATTAGAAGTAATGTAGCAATTTGTCAAACAAAAGGTATATTATATATAGTTTTAGTTAACCCAATTCCAAAGTCTACACTACCCATACTTAGCTTCTTCTTTCCACTTGGTACATGTTCACGAGGAAAATGTGACCATTTTTAAAATTTTATATACCCAAAGTTCATTATTTAGAATTATTATTGAACCATGTAGTTGCTTTAGTTTTTTTTCTTGGTTTTTGTGGGGTCCAATATGAGATGGAGGATATAGAAGAAGGTGAGAAAGTGCATTTTGATCTCCTGCAAGTTGTTTTTGTGGGCCCCCAGGAGAGATAAAAATCGGAGGAAATGCACAATTCATGCACGTCGCGCACAACAGCACTCAGTCAGGTGCACGCACCGACTAAGGCATTAGGCGTTGTAGATGCTCTAATATCCAGTACCCCAACTTTTGTGACACTCGGAGAAGCTAAGATTTAATGATGCCAATGTATTAGTTTTAGTGGTTTAAGTCAATTAGGGGTGACTTTATATAATAAGGGTACGATAAACCATCAAGGAACAATGGATACCCCACACATCAAGTAGAATTAGTGAGTTGTGTAATAGGTGACCATTTAGGGACACTTGACCCAGCCAGGCAGCCACTGGCACCCGACGATTTCTTACTCTATCCAATTTTGGGGTCAATTCCCCCTTCGTACTACCAAAAGAAATGAGATTCAACTAAAAGCATTATGTATTAATAGTACACTTAGAGCCAATGGTTCTATGTGACAAGTGTTAACTTTTAGGTTAAAAGGAGTACTATATAAGGAGTATTATTTAAATTTATAGTCAACCATCAACAAAAGAGGCTATCAAACTTGTAATTAAGGATTGCTTAGATGCAAAGAAATCTAAGGTACAATGAGTTTGGACAACTAACAAGGTGGTTGTAGTGAGATTAATTTGCATCAATCAATTAACTTTGATTCCACTTATTATTTGTTAATTGGAGATTTTCCAAGGGATGTTGTCAATCAAGATAGGTTGAGAGATTAGTTAGAACAAATGGTGTCGGCCCGATGATCCATTTTAACAAATATTCTAGTAATAATTGAGTTTAAACATAACGATCTCTCAAGGAACGACATTATCACTTAACTAACAAGAATAATGACTTCAATTTAGTTCAATTGTCTTCTTCTCGTCACACACAAAATGCCATTTGTATCAGACCATTCAGACCTCTATTTAACAGCCATTTTATCAAGGCTATTATGCAGGAGAAGGCTCTGAAAGATCTGCAGATTGCAGTGCAGCCAATTCCAAACACAAACAAGAGATAAACATGGGATCTGTCTAAAGAAGTTCAAAAATGGCAATCAAGAATTTAAAAGATGGGAGAAAACATATCACAAAGTTCAACAATCTTTAAACAAGATAACAGCTAGTTTGATAATATGGAAAAACAAAACCATTAAATATCAGATATTATAATCTGTTCTTAAGGCAACTACATATTGATCAAATATCAAATTGTTCTTGTTCTTGATTGCAAGGGTCTCTGGATTCTTCAGCGGTACTGCAAAGACAATTGAAGAAAAAGTTCAGTACCTCTAGACATGAGAACCATGGCATTTTAACAATAAGCAAGTATTTAATACACAGAATTTGAGAAAAGAACTAGGTTACACCCCAAGATAAAGTGATAGGACAGTATGAAATTGCAACTTGTAATTATATCTCCATACATGAGACACTCATAAGTCATTTCAATACCTTGATGAATCCGATTTCCTTGGCGTTGCTTCGGAAGCACTGTCTGCAGCACATAAGCCCATACTTTCTGATAATTCCATGAGAATTACCACAGACACGGCTGCCAAGTAACAGGTAAACTAATTAATAAATGAAGTAGCAGACATATACATTGAATTATGCATAACATGGAGACAAGATATTAGGGGTGTTTGGTAAATAACTATTACCTGTTAGCTAATTGGGTTAGTGGATTTGACTAGTTGATAAGATTAGCTAATTGTATAAAAGTGTTTGGTAAAAGTGTTCAAAATGACTTTCTTAAAAATAATCAAAAAAAGCTACTTCGAGGAGCTTTTTGAAATTTAGCTTTGGAGCAAAAATTGTTACAAAAAGCTTATTAATCAAACACCCATATTGACTAAAATGCTAAATATATTACCAAACAAGGTCATAGACCCTCAAAACCAAATCACCAAAGCAAGACATTAACAATACAAACAGGTAATAGAAGAATCCATTAATGGAGAAAGACACGGCATCATTATCATTTGAATGGTAAGGTTGACTAATAACTCTTCGGATTTGGATTGAAATAGTACAAACATTAGAACAGGCATTCAACAAACATTAAAACCCAATTAAAGCTCGAAAGTTGGTTCTTAAACAATCATAAGACAGGCAAGCATGGATCACAACATGGTCAAAAGACGATTTAAATCAAGCAACTCAGCTCAGTATATTTCAATTAAACGAACAATGAATTCCGAAATCACAATATATAAAGCTTTACTGGATAAACTAGAATCCATATGCGAAAAACTACTACTAGGAAAAGCAGACTGGAAACAAATACTAAGCAGCTCAAATTGGTTCTGAGAAATAAAAGCAGAAAAGGAACAAGGAAGATACCATGCGCGCGAGCCGGGCCCGTAGTTCTTGGGGTGAGCGTTCCAGATGTTAGAGTGTCCCATTGTTCTCTCTTCCTCGTTGAGGCTTCGACCACAGAGCAGCTGCGAGAAAACCCTAACGCTTAAGAATCTGGGGAGGTTTGATCCAGGTTTAAGTCATGTATATATATACCCGCAAAAACCCTAATTTGCTGGGCTCTCAGCGGGCTTCAGCGTATTAGGCCCATTAGAGATTTGGGCTTCTTCCTGACAGGCCCAATTATTAATTGGGCTACACTCTTGAACGTGAAGCGGCGGGTACCGGAATAAAGGGCGGTCACAAATAATCACAATTCAGAACGGCCGGCGAAGAAGAACGCTGAAATGGCTTCATCGTCGTCTTCAATTCCGGTCATCCACGAAAACGGAGAACTGCCTCTAGACGGGTCGGAATCGGGTTGGGTGGAGGTTCGAACTCACTGTGATCATCTCGCTTCGTTATCGTCGGATCTGGCACACATTCCCACCCTCAACACTCCCTGCAACAAGTCCGTCTTTCCTTCCACCAAACCCTAAAACCTCTGGCTGTTGATTTCCCCAATCTTCTTCTTCAATTAATCCAATCGAATTTCATTACAGGTGCCAACATCCGAGCGAGAACTGGCTATGCTTGAGCTGCAAGGAAGTTCTGTGCGGCCGATTCGTGAACAAACACATGCTGGAACACTATCAACAAGTTGATCACTCTATAGCGCTTAGCTTCAGGTACTTATTTTCCATTTCTCTCGGATTTCCTTTCGTATTTCTTCGCTTTGAATCTGCTTCTGCGCATGTATATTTGGATGCAGTGATTTATCAGTGTGGTGTTTTTCCTGCGATGGGTACTTGGATGAACAAGCCATTCCGGCTTTGCGCATTGTTCATCAAACTGCGTATTTGCTGAAATTCGGTGAAGCTCCTCCTCAGCTCCCCAGCGAGTATTTGCAGCTGGAAAATAACTGAGTCTGAAACTTCCATCTCCGGGAACTAGGTCCCTTCCTTTCTATCATGATTGTAAAGCGCAGCTGTTTCTTTTACCTGATTTCTCGACATTAATTCCTTCTATCACTTAAGTTCTCGAATTCATGTGATTTTGATATTGAACTGGTGATTGTAGAAACGTCTGCCGAAAATGTACTGAATCTGCCTTCAATTTGGGGATTGTGATTACATAATAAACTGTGATTACATAATAAACTTCTTTAATTCCCTCTATCACTTAAGTTCTCGAATTCTTGTGATTTTGATATTGAACTGGTGATTGAATCTGCCTTCAATTTGGGGATTGTGATTACATAATAAGAATGCAAATATAAATGAGACGTAAGAGTTTTTTGCCTGATTTGCTGGGATTCATGAAATCTTTATAATAATAATATTATAGGAGGTGGAAGTGAAAAAAGATGGTAGCAGATCACCATTGACAAAAAGCTGAAAAGTATTATACAATGAGCTTATTAAGGTTTTTTGGATCCTTTGATAGCCATTCCCAACAAGTCTGTTTTCTCTAGAACCCTGGCTTATGTGCATAAGCTGTTTAAAGACTCCAGATGAATGATTGCTTGATTTCACATATCCTCCTCTGAGACTTTTCTCCTTTCTTCTTCTTCTTCGGCTTGAAGCCAAGCAGCCTGACAAAAGGACAAGTAAATTTTGTAAATGGATGTTAGACTGGAATTAGAGTGGGTTCAAGCATGCTTTAAACAATCAAATGAAATGGGGAGGAGGGGAAAGAAAAAGATGAACTTGCCTTGTCTCTCTCAAGTCTGGAGAGATGAGGGCGCATGGAGTTTCCAAGGCTCAAGCCTCCCCATGCTTGTTGCAACTCTTTCTCCCTTGCTTCTCGACGAGAAACTGAATGCCTAATCTGGTCATCTGGTTGCTGAGCAGCAGCTATCTTTTCCTTCTCCAGTCTAGATTTGTGTCTGACCAAAACCTGATCCAAACTACCTTCATTGTTCACCAGTTCCTTCCTAGTGACCTTATTTACACTTGGCAGATTTTCCTTCTCTGCTGCTTGTGCAGCAGCAGCCATTTTCTCCTTTTCCAGCCTTGAGACATGCTTCACTAATATTTTATCTAGCCCATCACAATTTGCAGCAGCATCTGCTCCATGCTTTCTCTGAGATCTGAGGACACCCAGTGACGATTCTTGCATTTTCATCCTTTCCAGACGATGAATTGGCTTCACTAGAATCTTGTCCAGACTATTATCTGATACTGTACTTTTATCATCTTTGTCCCCAAGAGACAATGTGTTTACCTTTGATAGCTGTTCTCCAGTCACAGAACTTGCTTCTACTTCTACACCTGTATTCATGTTTTCTTTCCCCAGTTGGTTGTCTCCATCAAAGCATGATGGAATTCTTTCAGCACCTCCACCAGATGGCACTAAATTGTCTTCTGAATCTGTTGTAGAAGTTACAGAAGAGGTTGTCCCACTCAAATTGATGAACTGCCCTCCATTGGAGACGTTTTTTCTATTTTTTGCCTCTTGCACTTCTCTTTCAAGTCTTGACACATGTTTCACTAGAAATTTATCTAGACTGGGAAGCTCACCCATAACATCTTTTTTTTTATTGCCAACTGCCCTACCATGTGGTTCATAAGGTTTTACATTCTTCCTTGTTTTTTCGATCTCTTTCTCAAGCTTTGAAGAATGCTTTACCAATACACTTCCAAGGTCAGGAATGTCAGAGGAAATCGCATTACTGTTTGAAGCTTTAGACTTGCTTCCAATTAATGGCTCTGAACATTTTTTGGCCTCTTCAATTTCCCTCTCAAATTTTGAAGAAGGCTTCAGAAGAGAACTTTCAAGATCCAAATTATTTTGGCTTGAATTTGTAGAATCATGTGAAGGAAGTCTTTCATCTTCATATTTATCTGACCTTTGTTCAAGTCCTTCACTCTCTACATTCCTTTTTGCGTTCTTGGCTTCTAGGACCTCCCTTTCAAGTCTTGTCAACCGCTTTACCAGAAACTTGTCTAGGCTTGGAAGTGGGGCCTCATCCACACTTGAATCCTTTGCACGTACAGTTCCGGAAGAAGGTAATCTTCCATGAAAATCAAGGCCCGGGTCTGATTTATTATCAGATGCTGATTCCAATTTATGATGTTTCTGGTTTTCAGCTTCTGCAAGAGCAGCATTTAACCCACAAGTTGCAACGATAGTGGCAAGAGATGCAAGTTCATCTTCTTGCAAACACCGAAGTCTTTCCATCATCATCTGTACAAGGTTTGTCATATTAAACTTGTCAGATACCTGCTTCTTCTTACATTTCCTTTGTCTTCCCCCTGCAAACTCCATCTCTAAATTTATGTCTTCATGACAATCGTGGTCATTCTGTGTGCCACCATACTCAAGCTCAGATGCAGTATCGGATTCATATTCTGAATGAATCTCTGAAGGTTCATGATAGCTTTCATCTGTATCAGGGTTTTGACTGATCTTACGCAGCAGTTCTTTGAATTCGTCTTTGTTTATTGAAGGGCAATTTGCAAGATTGATAAGGGCAGCTTTAACTGCTGACGCCACTTGCTTATCCACCTCAAATGCAGTTTCGAAAGATGTTCTAACAGTGTGCATGGTGGATCCTCCTACTTTAGCTGATGATGTTTCTATATTGTAATGCTTGGGTGAAGCATCTGGAATGTCATATAATATCACTCCAATAGCTGTGGCAGCTTTAAAAGCTTCATCTGAAGTTTTCTCTGCCTTCATCAACTGCTCTTCTGCTTGCTTATTATCAATCCTGTACATACATGACACCAAGGGGAATAAATTCTGGAAGAACCATTAAAGTAAAGAAAATTTTTATTTCTCACTCAGACCAAAAATAGTCACCTGGCTGCTTTAAGTATTCGACACCAAGATGCTTCAACCATAGCAGCCTTCCGTGCCTCCATTGCTTTCTGAGCAGCCTCCCTGACTGCAATTTTTTCTCTCAAAACTCTTGAATAATGAGGATTAGAATCACCCAAAGTCTCATCAAGAGTTGAATTCATACCATCTACTTCCTGCGTCAATGTGTTAGTTTAAAACCTGGTGGCTAGAAGGCTACATGGTATTGCTATAATGCTATGCAAAAGGGGAATATAGGACAGAAAGATTATACTACCTGCAGCAACTTAATTTTCCTCTTCAAATAGGAGTCCACCTTTTGACGAGGGAACCAACTTAGAGGAGAAGTTTTCCGATGTGGTGGCTTCCTAATTTGTGATGCATTTTTGTTTAGAGAAACCAAGCTTGAACGGAGACCATCTTTCATAGCCTTATTCTGCAAAATCCAAAAGACATGACATATACTCCATAAAAAACAAACAAAAAAAAAGCTGCAATCAACTGTTAACCTCTGATGCAACTTAGAACACTGAAGATCAACCCTCAATTGTTTGATGAGTTATTTTTGTATACACAGATACTTCATACAAGGCACCTAAAGTTGCATGGAAACAGGAAATAGAACATAGGGGACACAGGATAAGAAATGAGGAAACGCTCACCAATAAGAGTTTCCGTGCAAGGCACTATAGCACTACTCCAAGATCACATAGACAAACGCACTTAATGTCGTTGAAAAGAGCAAAAGTTTAAGCAAACTAGTTTCTTCTACTGCATTTTTGTCCTACATAAAATCATTCTCTGTAACACCTACTTCACTTAATCTTGCTACTCTACCAAATCATTCTCTTTGACATCTAGTTCACATCTCTGTGACACTCTACCAAACTGTAAAGTGACTGAAAAGCATATCACAGTGCTTATGTTTATCATTTCATTGACACTCTACCAAACTTTAAAGTGACAGAAAATCCTGTGTAACTTTTATCTAAAGCACGCATTATACTATTCAGCCACTTTGGCTATACTCCATTCTACTTGCATTATCTTCATCTTGATCTCAGTGGTACAGTTCTGACTAGATGAACTGAATTCATCTGATTGCACCTTCATGGATAACAGAATAAGACAATTATTATGTCACAAACAATTTCATTCATTCATTCACTCATTCATGTATTTCAGCTTATATCACTTCTTCAGAATTATAAGTTCTACTCAGAAACATGGACCGGTTTCTAAACCCTAGCTCCATTAGACTTTCCTGAAGTTCAAAGCACACTCCAAACACCACATCATAGTCATTATCACTATTTCTGGTTGTCGAAATTATTGATTAAGTAAGATAAACAAACCCTAACCCTCTCCCCTCCCACCAAACGCACACTGGTAAATCTCTAAAAGCCAAGCAAAACCACGAAGAGAAAACACTCCAATAGATTACCATAATTAATTGCGGTGATTAATAAATATTAAAACCAAAAAACAAAACGATCAAACGGAATTCGTTACCTTCCCAGCTTTGGAAGTGGCCGTTGCAGAGGCGGTAGGGGTGAAGCTCTCAGAATGAGACAGAGTCTGATCGGCGTAGCTTCTCTTCTTTTCAATGCAGCCCATGTCCAAGCAACCTAAATCCATTTCCCAGCCCGGATCCGGTTATCGATACCCGCCAAAGATTTGATTGAGCACAGAGTAACTAAACGATACGCAGTGTACTGATCGATGCGTATCCAAGATTAAGAATTAAGTATAAAAGGAGAGCGAGGAATATCGACAGAGAGATTCTTTCTTGATCTTGAGAATTGAACGAAGAAGAAGAAGGATTACTGGTGAATGGTGATGCTATTCTGGAAGAAGAAGGCTGATGATTTTGAATAAGAGAAGTGGGGGACTATCCGTTACAGGCGATTCTCTCGTTCGCAACGGTTCTTTTTAATTTTCCTTCCAAGAGAGTCAGATCAGGTGCATGCTAGTGCACCGATGGCTAATTACGTGGTCCCTCAGGAAATAAGGAAATTGCCAAGAAAGGACCAAACTCCAATGGAATTGCAAAGAGAACACAAAAAATATCAAATTTCACGTTAGATCCTCAACTATTGTTTTTTTTTTCTTTTTTTTTTTTGAAGGAAAGAACTTAATTCATTGAATCAATAGACAAACGATCAACAAGGAAAGGAGGTGGAATATCAATCCATTCCCAGCAACACATTATCTATTGTTTTATTGTTACATTTAACTTTTTTTTTTTTGCATCATTATGTCATTGACTTTTATTTTCTTACCATATTTAGTCTTCCGTTTAAATTGTTATCATTTCACCATTTAATACAAATGAATAGCATATAATTTTTATCATTCAAATATCTTGTCCCAACATGTAATTTCTCTCCCTGTTTTTTAAAATCATTTTAATTGAATGATGAAATTAAATGTTATATAATTTCCCTAAATATAATCACTCAACCCCATATAATTTTTATCATTCAAATATCTTGTCCCAAATGCTATATAATTTCCCTAAATATAATCACTCAACCCCAAATTAAATCATTTTAATTGAATGACGTCGTTTTGAGTAAAATAACCCTAAATATAATTACTCAACCCCTATAGTTTTTAGGATACTATTTAATATTTTAGTATTAAATAATTTATAATTACCAAGTTTTTTAAAAAAATGTTAAACAAATTTATTTTTTAAAAGCGCGACTAGCGATTTTTTCAACACGCACACATATATATATAGTAAAATTAAATTATAAATAATTTAAGTCAACTCTATTATTTTGAGAAAAATGAGATCAAGAATAGAAAACAAAAACGAAGAAGAATATTTTACATTGTTCGGACGAGAGTCTACATACACGCAAACAAATGAGATGTTTAAAAAAGAATTGTGACTCTTCAAAAAAAAATTGTGATGATAAAATAGTAAGGGTTACAAGCATATAGACAATACTAATGATGAATCTACTAAATTACCCTTGTATCGTACTGCGAGGGGCTACCCCTGCATTTTCGACCACTCGTTAAATCGATTTGAATTCAAACCACAAAAACAAGTGTTATCACTTTATTCCATGCTCCATTCCAAATAAGCTATAAGCTCCTAAATAAACTCGGTCAAACAGAACCATAATCCAGTAACCTATGAGATACACAAAACATCTTTAAAGCGAATCAAACAAACAAAATATATAAGATAGATGAGTATATTTGAACCTTATTACTTTAACAGGGATATGATATGATGTAGAAATAAATAGGACATTTGTATGTCCTTGTTGTGGTACGAGTAATTTTGTCGAAGATCAAAGAATCAAATTCCCAAAAGGGATAACGTGTGTTGTCGTTTGCATGGTTAAGACGAATTTGTTAACAAAATGTAACATAATCCGATGACGCGACGGGGCTTGAAATTGTGCACGCAGGCCGGGTACGGAGGTCACGTTGATATGATAGAAGTGTGTGTGCATCCCGCGTTTGACAAAAATAGGTACAACAGGTACGGAGATTACGTTGCCAAAAACGCAGCGAAGCGTTAAACACCACACAAAATGCATGTCGATTACAAGTAATGGAACATAGCTTACAGGTTTATATACTACGGAAAAAGTGAAACATAAAGTTTGACGAGATACCTTGTTCTTTAAAACTTGCGACGGCCATTAGCAGCATCACCGATAATGCATATATGCATGATCAATAGTCCGAATTTATTCCTTAACAGTACAAATTGATGTATTTAATGTCTTAAACACTGTGTTGTTTATTCCGTAACAGTAGAGTTTGAGACAATTAATAAGCAAACTATAATGTCCACTAAAAGGTACTACTATACATGCATGTTAAATATTTCTAAGTCATTTTTTTTTTTCTTTTGAAAATACAAGATGAGTCAAATTGTGGAATTTGAATTAATTTGGACGGGTGATATGATCATGGACTCCAGAAGAGAGTGTATAGTGGTTTTTAAGGTATGGCCGGTCAAACCTCTACTCGACTTTTGTGGTTTAGTTAATAACTTGAGTGCCTTATCATTTGGTGCTTAATTCTATTAAGAGGCCAGTGCATTGCTTGATAATGTTCAAAGGAATCGAGAAGAATACAGATTGAAGTAATCCATCTGTCAATGTTAGCCGGGGCAACCTAAAATTCAAAGTGAAGATGTTTAAAGGGAAAAAGACTATCCGTCCACTCGCTTGGTGTGGGCGATGGCCAATGGTTGATAATAAGGTTTAGAGGGAATTGAGAAAAGTTCACAGGGAAATTGATGTCGATTTAGCAGATGAGTGACTTAAGATCTAGGGTAAAGCCTTCTAAAGAAGAAAAAACTTACTACTTAATATCGAGAAGAATTTTAAGTGTAAGCCGTCTAGAGTAGAAAATGATAAATGAGATATTGGATGCTGTACCTAAAAGAGAAAAATGCTTTTATTGACTTTATTCCCATAAACTGTTTACAGTATAAAACCCCATGTCCCCATACCTCCTTCGACCTCAATAAATAAATAAAAATTAAACAATAATATATTATATATTTGTACTTTGCAGCAGCTAATATATAGTTCGTTGATGTCGGGCATGCCGGGAGCATGGCTGGCTAAGTTTCCGAGGAAATCACTGCAATTCAGGTAATTAATAATAACCAGTAGTACGAGGTATACTTTTCGTTAATTAATTGGTGTTTTGTTCTTAATTAGTTTATTAATTCATCGATCGTGAACTGAATATGCAGTAGCGCGGCACCGGCGGCACGGCGTTGCATGAGCAAGATGGGGCCGGGGACAAACAGGAGGAGCAAAGCGGATGTGGCGGCGGCGATGGAGGAGGAGGATGAGAAGCGATTGGAAGAGGTATCGCCGAGCTGGGCACCGCATCCTCGCACCGGAATATATTTCCCGGCAGGGCACGAGCGAGTGATGGACGACGTTCCGAGCGGCGCCGCCTCTCTCAACCAGACTTATTGGCTGAGGAGCGTCGACGGGGTTGACAAACCCGACCCCGACGTCGACTACTACCAAACTTACGGCGCCAGGCGACACTATTAATTAATGTTAATTAGTTGTTGCTGTATGTGACCGAATTACAGTAACATATATATATATATATATATATATATATATATATATATATATATATATATATATATATATATATATATATATATATATATATATATGCATGCATGCTACCTAAGCGACTGCGTGTTCTCCTAGCTACTTAATAAGTCGATCTTGAAGGATCGGATATGATATGTATAAGATTATGTCCTGAAATATTCAGAAATATATAATTAAAAAAAAAAAATCAGGATTCTCCAGCTTTTAATTTACTTCTCTTGCTACACTACACCTAAGTTCAACTACTCCTTATGAGATTTATCTAACTACTGCCAGCTCCAATCAATTCCATCCTTAGTTTCTTGTTTCCATCCTTAGTTTCTTGTTTCAAATATTGTATACTGAACCATTAAGTTAAGTCAATGCCGGCTATTATTTGCTTTCTTTACTAGACATTTGAGTTAAAAGTCTCTAGAGGTGAGGTAGTGCGAGCCTTTAGCATTCTCATAGTCCAATTCCATCACGGGCAAATTATATCGCACCAAGGCACACAATGCATTGTGCACCTTAAAAGTTTTTGTGTATTATATTATTATTATGAGTTTATGTGTATTCTACTATACAATTATGTATATACGAAACATGAAATTTTTAGGAGGCACAATGCATTGTGCGTGGTGGTGGTGCACGATATAGCAATCACCAATCAATAGTTATGCTGTGCATCCGTATGCACCATGCATGGTGCATACGGATGTCAAAACGACGTCGTTTTATTAAAAAACGCGCGTCTCTCCTTTTAAAAAAATTGAGGTTCGATTCCCAGCAACAACATTATATTGTTCATTCATTTTGGAATTTTAGTTCATAGATTATGGAAATATAGTTCATTGATTATGGAATTATAGTTCATCGATTATGGAATTGTAGTTCATCGATTCTGAAATTTTAGTTTATAGATTATGGAATTTTAGTTCATTCATTCTGGAATTTTTAGTTCATAGATTAGATTATGGAATTATAGTTCATCGATTATGGAATTATAGTTCATCGATTATGAAATTTTAGTTTATATGTTGTTGTTGGGAATCGAACCTGATTTTTATTTTTTTTAAGGGGAGACGCGCATTTTATTAAAACGACGTCATTTTTGCATCCGTATGCACCATGCATCGTGCATACGGATGCACAGCATAATTTGCCATCACCAATCCCCTTGTTAAGTTTCTACATTGGGCCAATATTGAGTAACTCTCTATATGTTTAAAAGCCCATTAATCCATTTCCAAGAAAATGTAGGTAATTCCGGCTGCTAGATTTTAGCCTACGATCTATTTCAAATATTGGGAAGATATTTCCTAAGCCCAAATCCGGCAATCACACATGAAAATGATGAAACCTTATCGTGTCTCACTGTCTTGCCATCATCCTTCTCAACGTGACCAGGTAAGCTATTCCGTCATAAAATTCTGATGCTATTTTCGCTAACATCCTTGAATGCAAACGTAACTCTTCCTTGCGGATTGAAATTGATTTCTTATGCATTTGAATTGAATCTAAGGAGTCGGAGAATTTCCGGGTCACCGTTGCATGACGAAAGCTTTGGAGCTTTTCCACAACCGGAGGACCCGTTTGGGTCGGAGCATACCCGTGATTGAGTCCGATCAAATCTCTTCCCACGACAACCATATCAATCGTCACCGCAATCACCGCCGCCACAGCCATAGCCATAGCAGCAGTACTGATCGCCGTGTTGACCGGAACGATTTGAATGGCTGTGATAATCCACGACGCTCTTTGAGCTCTATCCACCGTTCCTCTTTTCCGGTTGGACCGTTGAATTTCTCTTCTTCTCTTATGATTATTGTTCTGCTATCTTATTTTAGCTAAGTGGTTTAATTATTCTCCCGTATATGTTTTTAATTTAAATTTTTCCCTATCATTATATGTGCTTAAATGGCCTATCTCCATGGAAATTGGAAAATGTCTATGTTTTCTTAGAAAATCTTTAGTTGAAGTCCTTAATGCATACTTTGAGATCTAATCCTTATAAGTTGCAATGTATATTGTGTATGATGCTTGTTGAATGTAAGCTTAGTTCATTACTTGGGCATTCCGTGAAACGTTCCATTCTACCAGAATTGGTTAATCAGTGTCTACCTAATGGTTGTATTTTTGTGTCTCTTAGTTTATATTCGGAGGAAAGACTGGAGAAGTTTACACATTTCACATCGTCCTGTAGTGACTCCCCTAGAACATAGTTCGGTGGTGCAAAGGGTAGAGTCTTAATAGTGTTGACAATAGTAAGGTGGGGGTCGAGTTTAAGTATATTCTGGTTTTGCTAGTAACACAATTTGGGATTAGATTCATTGTAGGCACTGATATAGCGGTTTTTTATCCTTGTCTAACTGAAACACGCCTCACGATTTACTTTCTCCACTAGACGTCTAAGCCATAGAGGCGAGGCAATGTAAGTGGTTAGTGTTAGAATTTGCTATGCAATTCTAGATTGCTTGATTCCATCTCTCTTGCCTCTATTTAACATAAGTGTTCTTTAAAAAGCAAGCTGCACCTTCTCTGCTCTCGCCCTTATTTTTCTACACTGAATATGAAAGTCTCATAGTTTATCGGTGGCATTTAATTCTGAAGTTGTCTCCTCTTTTCTTGCATGCTCAGGAGCGGGAGTCACTTTGGGTTGACCTGAGCAGTACCCCATCATCTTCCGGAAATGTTAACAGCATAGAAAATGAGTTTAGTATTCAAGATAGATTGAGAATTACTGGGAATGAAAGGCTTCCTAGTGCTGTACTACTTGCAAGGGAAAGGCTCCTTCAGAGGCTGAGAGGTGTATCTCTATCAGGAAACAGGTTAATTCCCTCAGATATATGGAACTTCATATTCTCTCTATTTTTTTTTTTTCTCGCGTAATTGTATGATCACATCCAATGGTGGTTCATGATACCGTAAATTTTTAAACCTTTAGAAGATTCAGTTAATCAGGGTCCACTTCTGTATCTTAACATTCCAAGGATCTAGTTCAATTTACATTCTCTTCCAATCTCTTCCTACAAGGGTTGTGGTGTGATTAATCCATCCGCATTCCACACAATAGGGTAGGAGCTGTATCTTTTTTTTTTTTTGGGTGGTGGTGAGGGGGTGGGGTGGGATGAGTGTTTGGGATTTTTTCAGCAAAATATCTTTCTGTTGGTCCTAAACGTGTGGCGTGTTGGAATGTGGGATGTTAGGTGTATTGTGGGTTAGTTTGCTGCACTTAGTACATCTGTTAGTCCTAAAATGGAGGAGCAAAAATATCTCTGGTCAGGCATGCATTGATTGCTTTCCAATTATATGCTTTTTGTGGTAGTTGTTGCTTGTGTGGTTTCCAATCTCCCACCTCGGCTTTTGTCAAATCATGAAAGGCAGTGTTGTTTTTTCATTGTAGACAAAGTAACCGTGTTGCAGCAAGCTTCCATAGAAGAGACTCGACAATTGCAGATGACTTTCAACTTACTGATGCTATTGACTGGGAAACCGAAATTTCTAGGGAGTGGCATGGAGCAGACATGTTCTCTAACTCTCTTAGACCGGATAAGATCAGTAGACCTCCTGGGCTAACCAAAGAAGCACTGGAGTCTCTGCCCGTTAAAATTTTCCGCAACTTGGATTACACCAGCGAAGCAGTTCCCAGTATAGTACGAGAGTGCAGCATTTGTCTCGAGGCGTTTCTGGACGGAGACAAGCTAATATCTTTACCGTGTGGGCACATGTTCCACAAAAGTTGCTTGGTTCCCTGGGTTCAAACTTGTGGGGACTGCCCAAACTGCCGAGCAGGTATATCATCTCTGTCTACCTAAAACACCTGCCCAGTAAGTAGTGACAGACACTTTCTTCTCCACACGCTGTATAGAATGCATTTTTGTCTTTAGGTCTTTGTTGCTTTCCTTGGTCCACACATGTCTAGTGACCACTAAGTGCACACTAATACATTAGTACGAAGTAGGTCGTCCTCCACCTCCCATCTGTAAACTAGTGTCAATGCCAGACGAAAACCGGGAAGCATCAGCCAACAGACATATGGCGTGATGAGGGGCCCCGAGTGGTGCCATTCCAAAACCACGCAAGCAAGCCACTTTGGATTGTTACTGGAATTTCAATGAAAGTGGGGAGGCTGATGCAATGTTGAAATGTAATCAAAGTATTGTCTAAAGGTCAACACTTTACCTACTAAACTTTTGGTGTCAGCCAATTATGTTGAGTAAGCTGTAACTTTCAGTTAGGTTTCTTGGTCTGCTGTAATGTATAACCTTCTTCAAAAGTCTAGAGAGAGTGGTTAGTTCTTTGTGTTTTTTAATAAATTTTTCTTCAAACACGACACATACGCGGGGCATGGAAATTCCGTGAAGGTTAAGGTTGTGGTTGGACACTTGGACTATTGAACAGTTGGGTTGAGTATTGGTCAAATACAGGATCCCTTCAAGATTCTAACGTCGCAGGAAAATTCCAGAATCTTAATAGGGCTTTTGGTTGGAAGGGATGAATTAGGGAGAAAGGAATTGTAATTTGGAAAGAAAAAAATAATGTGCGAATAAAGTAAGAATTCAAATTGCATTGTTTAGTAGAGATGAATAGAATTATTGGAAATGAAAAACGAAGAAGTGGTATAATGACTAAAATGTCTTTGTGTGATAATAATACTAATAATAGTTAAGGTTAAAGTCTTTTTTTTTTTTTTCCTTTTATTTTCTTATTGAATTGCAATTCATATGGGAATGGTTACGAATTAGAATTCTCTCTAACTAAACACTTTAATTTAGATGACCAACTAACCAAACTATTCATAAATACTGGACGGTTTGCCCGCTAGCCGTCCAAGTGGAATCAACAAAATAATATCTGGGTCAAATCATTCTCCCCTTTGAAATGTCCGCATATAAATGCTACCAAGTGTAAAATGCTCCACCCAACTCCCGCCCTGCAATCCTGTCTCTCTTTCAAATGGTGGGGAACAAAGCACTAACATTGACAAGACTTGTATCACTTGGAAAATTATCACTATAATCTTATCTCAAATTCGATCTGATTAGGAGTTCAAACTCCATCAAGAACAATCCCCTATTAATAATGTTAATTCATCGATTAGATATTATCGTTAAAATTTAAATGTGGGTTTATCTTTCCTATCACTACAATTGTAATTTGTTACTATTTTTTTTTATATCGTTGCAATTTAAACAAAATTTTAAATTGGACACTCTAGTTGAGGCTATAATAATTATCTTATATTGCCAAATGTGAAGTCATGAGTTCAAGCCTCAGTGGGGGCGGTATTGACTCTTTGTATTTCAGGTTGAGAAAGTAGTTATGAATAGATACTACATTGTAACAGAGTCAGTAGTACTCAAACAAAAAAAAAAAAAAATTATCTTTAATTCAGGATTATCAGCCACAACGTGTAAGGCTAACAAGTGGACATAAGTTTGTTATGTCCTCCACAAGTATACAAATTAGGGGTTATATGCTAGTTGAGATACTTGTGATTTATCTCTTCCATCAATTTTTAAGATAAAAATGGTGTGGGAGTGTGGGGTTCAAATTAATTATTTTTATGGCAAAATATATTCACCCTATATATAATTCTGGAGTGTGATTGAGTAGAAAGAATTTATTTATCATTGACCAAACGACAAGGATTTGATCTTTTGACTCTAGGTATGAAACAATCTTAACTTTTCAACAAGAAAAAATATTGTGTCTTGGAGTTCAGTCTTTTGGAAGAATTAATTATTGTGTCCGACTATAAAAATCATGGATTTACGCCCAAAAAAGAAAAAATATTCACCTATATGTTTTCTTTCCATTAATTCTCACCAGTACAAATACGGTCGCTTGCATTGACCACGACTAATCACTGCAGCGTGCTTAGCAAGGCAATATACAGTAGAAGAAAAAAGACCACAAATGTCATGTGTGAACTACAAAATCAAAATCAACAAAAATATGGACGGTTCACAAATTAGAGCTAATTTCATATTGCTACTGACCATTTTAAGGAACTTTAATTACAAACTTTACCTAAACAATTTTGGTCCTAGTCGTCTATCTTTTGGGACACGAAAAACATAAATAATGCCAATATAATAATAATAAGTAAAAGAAAAACCTTTGCATGTAATAAAGGTTTGTAAACTTACACGCAAACAATGCATACCTATAGTATTGCCCCATGATGCACGCAAAATAAGACTAAAGTATACTAAATACAGATAAATGGTAAGTAGAGTATGCAAATTAAAATCTAGGATGGATTTAAGAAGGAATATGTCACCCTCCAAAGGAGTATATGGACCATAATTTTTTTTGGAAAGAAGGGAGAGGGGATATGGACCATAATTTTAGTATTAGAAAATTATGATTTTGATTTTGATCACTTAAGGGTGAGTTGCTATGCTACTTTCTTGTTGGTTGATGTAATCAACCAATTAAGTGGCATATCAGTGCTTTGAGATGACTATGATGGCTTATGCCATCAATCATTTTTTTCCTTTATCAAATATGGTAATGTTGGTGTTTTGGTTTATTAAAAAAATCCGGAAATGTTACTTAAATGAGCGATTTGGATAAAGTTCATTTTGTGATTTTAGTCGACAAAAGACCACACTGAGGTAAAATTGTTTAGGTTATCAAAATTGATTGAATCAAATAAATAAGATCAATAGATAACTCCCACAAGATTAGATTGGTCTTTCATATTGATAATCGTTGTGCTTAATTGGTAGATTTGGGCTCGACTATAATGATTTATATCATTACTATTACATGCGTAGATTAGTCTAAACAATCTTTTACAAATCGAGTTGAGTTGATCATTTTTCCCTCGACTAAACAAGATCAGGTTCATCCTTCATAATACTAATTCTTGTGCTGTTATATTTGAACTTATTGTTTAAATTATTATGTCAACTACCCTAGTCCCTTTAACCCCCATCAAACTCGAGTTGTTTATATTTCCATCTTATGTTAATAAAAAATTTAAAATGAAAATAGAGATATTGATGACGTAATTTAATGAATTTATTAATAATTAAATGAGTTGAGAAATATATATATATATATATGCGGACAAACGCGTCATACATGTAAAGATATTATCACCGTGTTTCTGAATTTTGAGTCATCTTCCAACGCGGTTTAATTCCGAGACTTTCGCTAACCCCCGGTCTACTCCTCCGGGTCTTAAGCCTAAAGCCCCTTTCATCTTCTTCTTCCTCAATTCTCATACGCACTTCCATCTATAATCTATCTCTAATATATATATATATACACACACACACGTTGTGTTGTGTGTATATATTTTATATATACACACAGATATATATTTATATATATTTAGGAACAAAAAATTCGTTTCCGAGGTATTAGTGCATTATCGTGTATTTGAGATCTTCGCCGGAGTTTTTTGAATCATTTCTGAGGTATAAGGACGGAACAGTAAGGAGCCATGTTGCGATCGTGTTTTAGGCCGCTGGAGAGGTGTTTGGGCCTGCGGAGCGGCGACGGACTTCTGTGGCACATGGACTTGAAGCCTCACGCCTCCGGCGACTTCTCAATTGCGGTTGTTCAGGCTAATTCCTCCCTCGAAGACCAGAGCCAAGTCCTCACTTCTCCGTCCGCTACTTACATCGGTGTCTACGATGGCCACGGCGGTCCTGAAGCTTCCCGCTTCGTCAATCGCCACCTCTTCCCTTATCTACAACGTGAGTTAATTACTCGTCTTTTTTTATTGCAATATCTCTGTGTATGAATACATACGTGTTTGTAAACTAATAGTTTGGCAGTTTCTCCATATTACGACGATCGTCTGTGCGGTTTTGAGCTTTTTGGGATTTTCTCTTTTTGTTAGCATAAGCTCAATTTGAATTTTGAAGTTTGAAATGTATTTTTTTTTGGGTGTTGTCTATAGATAGTATAGAAGTTTTTTTTGGTCCTGTTTTACTGATTTTATTGATCTAATTTGGTCAGAATTTGCAACGGAACAAGGAGGACTGTCAACGGATGTAATCAAGAAGGCTTTTCATGCCACAGAAGAGGATTTTATTCGATTAGTTAAGAGATCGTTGCCAGTAATGCCACAGATTGCTTCCGTTGGATCTTGTTGTCTTGTAGGTGCGATTTCGGATGGTGAATTGTATGTAGCTAATTTAGGAGACTCAAGAGCAGTTCTGGGGAGGAGAGGTTTTGATGGGGATATGAAATCCATTGTAGCAGAACGATTATCTACTGATCATAATGTTTCATGTGAGAAGGTGCGAAAGGAGGTTGAAGAACTTCATCCTGACGATTCCCCTATTGTATTCTATTGTCGAGGAGTTTGGAGAATCAAAGGCATAATTCAGGTAACCTAGCTGCAAATGTTCTTTTGACTACAATTGTATGATTTTTTTAATACTAATTTTATTATATTTTTTGTTGATAAGTGTGGGCACTGTATAGGCTATAGTGAACACTGCTGGATAATAGTTTAGATAACATGGGAATCTGATTCTCCAAGCAGTGCTATATGATTCATTCTGTCTGTTCTTAAACTTCTGTAGCATCATCATCTACTCCATGTGCATTTATGGTGTGTTCACTTATCTGAAAAGAGAAAATGTGCTCTAGACATGTGCAGTTAGTTCTCCAATTGGGGTGTTTCTCAATTCCGAGAAACCTTCAAATTGATGGTCATATCAACTTATCAAGACTTAAATAGGGACTAAGCAAGGCATAGTGGTTGTCCTGATCTTGTCATGTGAACATAGTAAGGATTGGCTTGTGGATTTCTTTGTTTACATAGGATCTTTCAGTGTCACCACAAGAGAGAAGGTCATTCTCATTATCAGTACCACTCAAATCAGTTGTGTGTTTTTCACAATTATGTTATCCTATTTGGAATATTGCCTTTCCCTTTATCTATCTGTCTTTTGAACAGCATCACTAAAGTCTCTGTCCATTCTATTCTAAGAGGGTAACATCATCTTCCCCTTGGTCCACTATCACATGCTGTTGAAGTTATAAAGGTAGTTAGTCTTCCTTACATAGTTGCATGGGACAGACATGGAGGTTTCATAAAGCAAAGTGTTGTGATTCCATTGAATGTTTAGCCTCTCATACATCTTGCCTTTCCAGAGATCATGTTGCTATAAATTGACATCATTTTCATCTAGCTTCTAAAATAAGCTTTTGTTTGTTTCTTCAAGGCTAAACAAATGATTGCCTTTTAACTTGCCTTCTAGTTGTTACTTATTTGTGATAGTTTTTGCTAACATGTATCTTTACACTTTTAGGTGTCAAGATCTATTGGTGACGTCTATCTTAAGAAACCCGAGTTTAACAGAGATCCCCTCTTTCAGCAATTTGGAAATCCTGTACCTTTGAAGCATCCTGTACTAACAGCCGAGCCGTCAATTGTTACCAGAAAAATTCGGCCACATGACTTGTTTTTGATATTTGCTTCTGATGGCCTCTGGGAACATTTAAGCGACGAAGCAGCAGTTGATATAGTGTTCAAAAACCCAAGACCTGTAAGTTTCCATAACTATTATGTTGACATTACTTCTTTTCATCATGAAAAAGGCAAATTATAAAACTTCTGTGCATTCATTCATCAGTTGAGCCACTAGCTTAATCAAAACTATTGCCAAATCCATATCCTTGAAACTATTGCCAATGGATGTATATTGAATGCGGCAGTGAAATACTTGCAGGGAATAGCTAAGAAACTGGTGGGAGCAGCTATTCAAGAGGCTGCTAAGAAGAGGGAGATGAGGTACAAGGACATAAAGAAGATTGAAAAGGGAGTTAGGCGCCATTTCCATGATGACATTACAGTAGTTGTGATTTATCTGGATCAACATAAAAGATCTTCCCATCCTAAAGGGGCGGTTGACTCTGTTAGCGCCCCCAGGGACATCTTCTCGGCCAACGTTACAGACAATAAAATGCTCGGACTTTCTTGAGCATGGACAACCTAATTAAGGGTAGCATACTGACTACATTACAAGAGTAGGCTTTCTGGTTGAAAGAACCATCTTTCCTGGAAAGACTGTGCAGGGTTGGTGTAGATAATTATGGTTCTTGAGCATGAAAACATGGTTTTTCTGCTGTTTTGGATCTGATGTATACATTTGTTTGTTCTTTATAATACATAATATGCAAGAAGGGATCCCAAAATGACTTATTTGCTGTATTATTTTCCTCTTTTTGGTTGGTTTTCCATTTTCACTTGGATCATTGTCATTTAACACCAGTTAACCGCAAATTATCCTTGATTTGCTACTGGATTCTTAATCCCTAAATTAATTTCAACAATGATGACAATATTTGTTGGATAAGGGCGATGAGGTCTAGACACATCCCCGCAATATAGTAGACGATAAAGTCCTTTCCATTTGTGTCTCCCGGCAGGAGTGATCGAGGATGAGTCTTCATCTTCAGAGACTAAAATACCTTATCTTTAACATTGATTGGTTCCCAAAGCGCAACATAAACTCCGTCTTATGATTCTAGCTGATAAAGGACCAACCTAAGTTATAACTGACGGATTTAAGTAAGCAAAAATTTTAATTGCAAAAGAGGCCATTTGACTTATATATCCCTTACTTTTAAAATTTACGCCATGCCTAAGAAATGTTATAACGAGCTGCCCGCTGGGTAGTTTTTTAGGAAACCAAACGCGGCCTCCTGGTTTCGGAGAATGAGTACGAGTCTTATGGTGGCAGAGAAAATCTGGAACGACATTGAGTCAACTCGTTCAGGTCCTCGCCACGCTTACATTAAACTGAATCAGTTCACATTCATCTTTCTTCTTCACTCTTTGGATTTATTTACCTATTTTTGTTTGGTCTCAATTTCGTATGCACGCCCGCCTGCGTTAATGGCGCTGAATTTGAACTGGAGCAGTGACGGATGACCAGCTATCGATGTCGGTACATTCTGCTATTTTTCTCCGTTGAATTAGAAGTTTTCTGTATCCGTAACTTCTGTGTATTCTCCAGATTGCATTTTCTATTTGGAAAAAATTTCGAGCGAGCATCGCGGGTAGTTGATCAAAGAGGAGTCAAGCGAATCTGCGGTCAACCAAGTGGACGTTCCGTTTTTCAGGTCTGATCTTCTAGACCTAATCAAATTAAGCTGAATAATCATGGAAAATGATGAATTTTGAGTTTCCTAAAAGAGTGTTCTTCTCTCTCTCTCTCAGGTGGTTGGAGAGTCTAAGAAGAAAGAGGAGTATTTGTGCTTCCCGGAACATTATTGCGCTTGTTATTCTTTCTTCTACGACGTCGTGAACAGAGGGGAGCAACTATGTGTGAGATTTCTAGATTGAATTTTTCTTCTGAGATTCTGTGTCCCATGTATTTCTCCCTTCAAAAGTGTTGAAGCTTTGCTGCATTTCTGTAATTATCTTATGAGCTTCTTGTCCTGCAGTGTAAGCATCAACTGGCTGCAAGACTTGCCAAGTCTTTGGGAGCTTGCATTGAAGTTATGGTGTCCGATGAAGAGCTCGCGGTGATGCTCTCCCAACTTTGATGGTTTGCACTCTGGATTTTTTATTTCATACTGTAAATGAGCTGCATTTCTATGTCACACTTGAATGATCACTATAGCACCTATAGATGCATGTAGGAATTATAATTTGAACAGAATATGAGAATACATATGCAGTTTGTGAGAGCACTGCTTCAGTTCTCTCAGAACATTATGTAGTACCATTGAATTGTAAGAAGTGAAAAGCTATGGCAGCCTCATTAGCCTCTCATTCTTTCTAATTTACAAGAGTTTTAGCAAAGGAATTTACAACATGCCAAGATTCTTTGAATCCCGATAATTACTACTGCTTCGAGAAATGATGAATCAGTTTGTTTGATTAATCCACATTTGTCTTATCCAGAATCTATTGCTAAGAACAAGTAGCACTCAGATATGATGCATTCAGGAGGATCAGATGCTTGGAATATGCAAACAATTGCCTTTGTCTTAAACCAATGGAACATCAAATGCACTCAAGGTAACCTTCTGTAAACATGTTTCAGTCATCAGCTTCGTATACCATGCTTAATAGCATTGCATGATGAACTGTATTAGACTATTAGTTCAGGCAAAATGCAGCTTTTCCTCTTTCCTTCATAGTGCTCTTCTCTGATCTCTTAGACTCTTACTAGCGTTTTAGGCACCAGCCCCTTCTCAGTATCTCAATGGTAAATAGATCTTTCCTCTTCAATACCATACTCAATGCTTTGAATCTAAGGAAAGAATAAAACTAAAAAACACGAAACTACATAAAACGACACCAGACAACTCCAACCATGTCAACAATGATAATCGGGTGAAGATCATTGACTTGCAGCCTAGGTTTAGAGAAATTGTGGTGGGTAGCCAAGACAATTGTACACTTGCAGCATAAGAAATCTGTGGTGGGTAGCGATACTAGTTAGCATAGGCATTGGCCTCCCTATGAATGTGTCTTACCACGTAGTACCAATATGATATGAATGCTCAAGAATTTTGGTCTTGAACTAAGAATTTCCAAATAACATTGATACAGAAATCAATAGAATACAACAGAAGCAGAAGCCCATACACACACACACAGATGATATGGCTCCTCCTAGTATCATTCACTGGCTTCCTTTCAACAGTACAACATAGGAAGCATGTTCTCTTAACACAAATGTAATGATAATTTAACCAAAAACCAACCTGACTAAACTAGGGAACAATCTTGTAAGCCTTCACCTTATCAATCCAGGAAACGAATGCATTCTTGGAGTTTCTGAATCCCAAAAACCCATGCTCCTTGCTCTTGTTCATGGTGTCCAGAGGGCAATCTCCCCCGAGCTCCAAATCTACAAACCACCAATTCCCAACCTCCTCCAGCTTCATTGGAGCCAAGCCTTTCTCCCTCACGATCTCGTCCCAAACTCGCCCTTTCTCCTTCATTGCCTCCTCCAGACTAAAGCTCTTCCCTTCCTCAAACTCTGCAGCTTCCACTCCAAACTGCTCAGCCAACACCTTCCAGAAATGCTTCCACTTGAACACATCTCCATTGCTGATGTTGAATGCTTCATTCTTGGCGTAAGGATCCACGGCTGCCCATATCTGGTGCTCCGCCACCAAATCTGCATCGGAGCAATCTGAGTAGCCGTCCCAGGCGGCTTTAACGCCGGGAAACCTCAATGGGACACCCTCATGTTTACATATTGTCGCGTACACACACAGACTTCCGACTAAGTTCATCATGCTGAACGGAGAGAAGCCGTGGATCGTCCCCGGCCGGTGAACTGACCATGTCAATCCCTCCTTCTTCCCCACCTCTTCGAGCAGGATATCCTCCAGAGTGTAGTAAAAATTGGGTACTTTCAATCGAGGCAAATCTTCGCTGTAAGGCGGGTCGTGGGCGAATTTCAGATACGATTCCCAGGGACCTATGTAGTGTTTCCGGCCGGTTTGCAAGCAGATGTGCTGCAAATTCGGGCAACTGGGGATTATCGCGTTCACCACGTTTCTCAGCATTTTACCATTGGCTTCACAGTTTTGGTCTTCTCTGGTTCGATTGGTCCAGGTGACGTAGAAAACGTGCGTGACGTCGGTGAGAACGGAGAGCTTGGATTGGGCGTCTTCGGAGTTCAAAATGTCGCACTGGATATACTCGATGGGGTGATCGGCGTTCCAGGATGGCCTGGGGCGCCGAGCGACGCCGTAGACTTTCCATGGGCCGCCGGGGGTGTCGGCCAGAGGGAGGATCTCGGCGAGGCTGTTGCCAACGATTCCGGTGACGCCGACGATCAGAGCCACGCTCTGGTACTTGGGTGGCGCATCATCTTCCTCCAATTTTTTCTGCGGAAATGACGATCAAGATCATTAGTATCAGATTTAACTATCATCGATTCATCAAAATTGGATTAAATTTAAAATTTCCATCCCCGAACCTAAAGATAAAAAATTTGAGAGAGAGAGAGAGAAAGAGAGAAAGAGAGGATGTGCCTTGGCAGCGCCAATAGCTCCGGCCCACCACCAGCTCATTTTCTAGATTTCCGGACGAGAAACTGTTCGCTGCAAATTGCAATTGGAGAGTGAAGATGGGGTATTTGTAGAAGAAAGATTAATGAGACGTGCATAAATTGGTAGAACAAAGATGAGATAAACGTTGCCTAATGGACAGACAAATCCATCTCAGCTCTCATATTTATCCAATGCAATTTTAAAAACTGTGATTGAACTCTCAAATTAAAATAATTTAGAATTAATGTCAATTAAAAAATGTAATTAATCCCTTGCAATCAGTTGGAACCAAGGGACTTAAAAATTAAAATAATGAATAAATAAATAAATAAACAAAATTGGGGTTGGGGCAAAGGGGACTAGGGGAGGACAAAAGTGCAAGGCTGTATTGAATTTAATAGGCAAAAAAAAAAAAAAATGATGCCAGGAAATAACCAGTTTTAGGTGGAGTGATCAAATGACGCAGCGTACAGCTATAATGATCATGTTCTAGGTTTGAACAGAAGGATCACAATGACTATATGCAATGATTACATAATTAATATTCATCGAATAAGACACTAACACATATTCATGTGATGTTAGTGATTCTTCACGTTCATTGAATATAATGTTAATGACACACTAATGTATTGTTAGTGATTCTTCATGCTCATAAAACAAGACGCTAATGATACATAATGTGTTATTAGTGTGGTTCCTTCACACTCATGAAACACGCTCATTAAACATTAATGTACTATTAGTGATTCTTTACGCTTATTGAACAATACGCCAATGACATGTTAATGTGCTGTGAATGATTCTTCACAATCATGGAATGATGAAATATTAACCTGCTGTTAAGAGTGTTAGCGATCCTTCATGCTCATGGAGCAATGACACATTACTTTGCTATTAGTGATTACTCACATTGATAGAACAAGACGTTAATGACACATCAATGTGAACACAAATAACATTAATGTACTTAGTGACTCATAACCTTATTGAACAAGATGCTAATGACACATTAATATGTTGGCGATTCTTCGTGTTTATTGAACAAGACACTAATGACATGTTAGAGATTGCAATACCATGAATTTGTAGTTACAGCACAAGATGGGGATTATGCTCAAAGTGGGTAGATCGTGGTATTTGACTATGTCTACTGAACCATTAAGTCACCCTTCCAAATGCTCTATTAGATAGAAATGTGAGAGACCCTTGGGATTGAGGATTCAACCTTTTGAGAGAAGCACAAGATGAAGAAGTGGGTAAAACATGGTACATTAACTTTTTGCCTGAACATTTTTCATCAAATACTAAGCAGAGGCATCTCAAGTAACATAATTTAGTCATAACTGCATTGTAGCATCAAGCTTAAAAGTTACTCCCTAACATATAGCTAAGCTCCTCCATATAACAATAATTATCTTCATACCAAAGATGCTTTTAATCTAGACTAGGCAGAATCACCATAGATTTCCGAGTGTAATATCATTAAGAACCCCATAGACTCCATTTACAAAAGAAGATACAGAGGCAAATAAACAGGGGGGAAACAAAAAAGAAGCCATTCTTTCTCAATAGCGAATAATCACTTAAGAAAGTGAGGAGAAATCAAGCCAGCAATCTCAAGGAACCCAATACGATCCTTTCCAGCAAAAATTTTCTTCAGCTTCTCATCGCACACTATGACCTTTTTGTTTGCAGGATCCTGCAATAGAAAAGAAAATGTCAAATGACTCAAGTAAAATCTTGTTCAAGAAACAAAATTTTAAGGCAAAATCTGGACTGTAAAAAGTGGATAGTTTCATTGCTTATCAAAAGTAAATCTTAGGGAAGGGTGGGGTGAGCTTAGTTGCAGCATAAAAAGCAGTGATTCTTTTTCTTATGTACCTGATTGTTAATTTGTTATCATATATTTAAGCAACAGAAATGATACCACAACATACAAAGGTCGCCATGTTTATTATAGATTTGATTTAAAATTCTTGCATTTGGGAAAAATCCAAGTCTAAAGTCAAAGATGCAATTATAGGGGTGCTAGCGAACAAAGCTTTCAGTAAACTACTCGTGTTCGTGTTCGATAAGCGTTCGTTTGTGTTCGTGTTCGTTAACGTGCTCGTTAACGAACACTAATGAACGCTTAACAAACAAACACGAACAACCTCCGTTCGTTCATGTTCGATTCGTTAACATCCCTAAATGCAAATAACCTCCTTTCATTCCAAGGTCTAATGACAATAGATAAACTCCTATATTTATAATTCATTTCAATATCCAATAAGGCAAAATTAGCATTTAATATCCAGAATATCTTAAGAAAATTAGCAAATGTTAGTATTAACAGTCTTGCAAAACAGAATAATAGGCAATATTACTGCTAATGACCTAATTTGGATGGTGTACACTCCATAATCAAGTCCAAGTTATGGATTACTAGCTTAAATAAACTAACTACTACTACTACTACTATATCCTAATATAGCAAAAGATAAAACCGGGAGGCAAACAAGCAAATATATAATAATGTTGCGTTAAGCTGAATCAGTCTCAATAGTAAAAGAACATAAAGGACTGGAGAATAAAATGCTTCAGAGTTCATACACATACCTGAAGGTTGTTCTGTTTGATGTAAGCCCAAATCTCCTTAAGCACTTGAGTGCGAGGAATCTCAGAGACGCCGCCGAGGAACGCCTGCATTTCCGGCGAGACTCGGCGCGGTTTCATGATGCCACGGCCGGCTTGCTTCTTCGTTTCCGTAGCTTGCTCGGAAGAGGCAACAACCGTCAACATTCGCACAGTGCGCGGGTTACCAAAAGTAGCAGACAACGACGGCGCCGATGGCTTCGCAAAAGACTGTTTTCCGCCGGTGACGAAGCCCGGGAACAGGTGCAAAGACAACGCCATTTCTCTGATAAAACTTTGGATTTGTAAATTACAGAGAAGCAGAAGAGCGGCAGCAGATAAGAGTGGGAGAAAGGGTTTTTTGTGTCCGTGTGTAAAAAAAGGTTTAATCCGCCTCCAGAGTTTAGGCCAAATTCTTTATTGACCATGTTGCCCTTTATCCTCTTCCGTCTCCCGCCTATTCCGTAGGCAAATTATATTGTGCATCCGTATGCACCATAAACGACGTCGTTTTATTAAAAACGCGCGTCTCTCCTTTAAAAAAAATTAGGTTCGATCCCCAGCAACAATATATGAACTAAAATTTCAAAATTGATGAACTATAATTCCATAATCGATGAACTATAATTCCATAATCGATGAACTATAATTCCAGAATTTAATCTATGAATTAAAAATTCCAGAATGAATGAACTAAAATTTCAGGATCTATGAACTAAAATTTCAGAATCGATGAACTACAATTCCAGAATCGATGAACTATAATTCCATAATCAATGAACTAAAATTTCATAATCTATGAACTAAAATTCTATAATGAATAAACAACATAATGATGTTGCTGAGAATCAAACCTGAATTTTTTTTAAAGAGGAGATACGCGTTTTTAATAAAACGACGTCGTTTTTGCATCCGCATACACCATGCATGCACAGCATAACTACTCTATTCCGTATATATTTGGTCATTTGGGCCACACTTTGAGGCTTAAATGGAGCGGGCCTTCTCGGCCCAGTTCTTGTAAAGGATTCTCTTTTAGGGTGTTTTGGTAAAATAAAATGAGCCTACTTTTCCATCAAACAACTTTTCCTTTTTTTTTTTTTTTTTTTTTTCTGGAAAAATCATTTTTCAAGTCTTCAGCAGCTCAGTCTTCATCTTCAGCATGAATTTTTGACACTCAATCCGTTGGAAACGAAACAAAAATCATAGTACCAGATTTCTGACCGCTGAAAACAAATCATTTGGTTTCCGCGCATAAACCAGAGATATGTTCTCGTTTGCAACGTGGAAGCCAGACATGGTTTCTGGCGGATCTCTAGTTTCTGTTGAAAATCAATGAAGTTTCAGTTTAATTTTGTCATTTTTTTTCAATTTTTAATAAATAATAATATTTTAATATTTTAATAAATATTTTTATATTCTAAATAAAATAATTAAAATATTTAATTATACAATTTTACTCATTTTTCATAAAATAAACCAAACACACAAATATATTTTTCTATTATGCATTCAAACATTGGAAAGGAAAATGACTCATTTTTTTAAAAATAAAAAATAAAAAAATTCCAACCTAGCCAGTTGATATTGTTAAGGTCAAAGCGTGAATACAGGGACGGGTGTATGACAAAGGGAGTAAATGCTTTAAATGGAGGGACAATTGAATGATACGGAATATAATTTAACAACCTTGGTATTCACACCAATATGCTACACCGTATTGCCTTGCATTTGCTATTTACGTACCAGGTAATTACCTTAAATTCTAATTAATTAAAATATATTACTATTTAATCTCCATCAAGGAAAGATTGCCAATGCTCGTAATTGAATTTATTAAAAAAAAAAAAGAATTCATTAAAAAAATTAATTCAAAAATCTTTAAAAATTCCTATTTAAATCATAATTCATCAGGTTTGGTTACAGAGAGTCTTCCACCGTCTTAAATGCTTTTCCCCCAACAGTACCACATTTTGCCGATTACGACCGCCGACAGTTTTGTCTTTTACTAGGTTTAGCAGTTAAAACATAGGAAAGCTCACCTAATTCGATTTTTTTCTTTTTTTCATGCCAAACTATATTGTGAATCTTATAAATCCCACTCATAAATTCATGATGAAATAAATGAGTCAATCTAGTTTTGAGATTTAACATCAAACTATACACTTTTATATATATTCATTACAAGAAACAAATTCTTACTCTGTCACTAAAACAAGTTTTAAGGGAGATTTCTCATCAACTAAACCAATGTCACTTGGATGCTATCAATCTCTGTTCGTCACTTCAATACAAGGTAGTGAGCGTGACAAAAATATATACTTTTAGAAATACAACTAATATTTTTTGAAGGGAATAAACAACATTTAGGGTAGGAAGAGCCTGAATGCAGATAGTGATATGACACTGGTAAATGGTAATAGTCTCATCTTTCTTGGGTCACAGAAGGTAAACTAGACAGAACTAAACTTGGAAGTTCCTATGGCCTTAGAAGGCTTGTGCTACAATCAATCCCTTTGATGATTCTATGTGAAGGGTATAAAATTTTGGGTAAGGGAAGGAAGAGTCTGTGAACAATTATGCTCTATTTACAGAGATACATATTATAATAAAGTTCTCATTCAACTATGCTCCTAATTGTAACTTCTGCTGGTTAGTCAATTAGAACCTGTCTATCAATATCAATATAAACAGCATTGATCCTACTAGGTTATAGTTTCACCTTCAACATCACATTATCAACACTGCCATCACAGGTTTCCTCCACCGCGGCAACCTTGGCACAGTGAGCTGCAATTGCAATTGAATTCTTATCGCTTTCGTTATGAGGAAGTTCAAATGATTCGTTTAAAGATCTTGATCTCAAGTCAGCAGGGGGGATGAAACAGTCTAATGATAGGCCTGGAATGTTGAAGGCGACCTCTTCAATTGTCCAAGCTTCTTCCATGCTGGTCTTGGTATGGCTCATTGCCATGTCTCCAAATCGGAAGAGTGTCACAGTAGACCGCCCAGAGTGAGCAATCATGATTCCTTCAACAGGATGGTAATCGTCTAGGAAAGAGCTTATGGTTGTTTCCCAATACACTGCATCTTCGCCATTAGATTGGATGCGGGTAAGATGAGAATCTTCTATATGTATGAGGAGCCCAGACTTCTGGCTGAAGTACCCAAAAAGGACATGTCTTATGATCTCTGCAGATCCTTCACTCCTGGCCTTCAATGTCTGAGGATCAGCAGAGAGCTTGAGGATGAAGCAGTCCTCGCCATTGATATTCTTCTCTCCTATGCATCTAGCATTGGCAAACATAGTAGCAGTTGCTTTTGGATCCAGACCCTGAAAGTAATACAGCCCAAATCAGTAAATTGGCAAGGAGGACAGATAATAATCTGCACACAATATGACACATAGTTTGGTCTTATCTTCCAACCTGAAGGGCTCGTCGCAGTGGCCTAACTGGTCCTTTTGCAGGATGAGCACCAAGCCATGGAGTATGTCGCCACACAATCTTGCCATTACACCCTGCATGAATCTTGCTTCCTCCAATAGCAAGCTCCATGTACCACATGTCAGGATTCATTTGCCAGATGACAAACCCACCGGACTCGGGAGCCCTAGCACCATTCCTACTCTTCACTATCTTCGTAGGAGTTTCAATCTCATAAGACAACATCTTAAGCTTTCCCATGGCATAAGCATTCTTAACTGAATTCTGGAGCTTCTGCCCTCCAGAAGCCGCAATGTACTGCTGCAGTATGTACTGAGCAGACGAAGTTTCCTTCATTTTTAAAATGAATCAGATAAGGCAAAAGCAGGAATATCAATATCAATATCAATAATGACAAGAACTATATCAATATAGACAAGACACAGTGGCCAAAATTGGGTTAGTCCCACAATCAACAATATCTTCATCCAAAGAACCCATCACCACACGTTTTCTGCAAATCCAGTGACTTAATTGCTCACTAAAAGGCCTGAAATTCAGTATGCTGCTTTAAACTTCACCTTTAACGCTCAAGTCTTCATCATTTTGAGGCAGCATTTCATGATTTTTGCAATGATTTTAAGAGAAATGACAAAAGTTTGCTACTTGTACAGTGATTTTGCAAAAAAAGGCAAGCAAGTTGGTCACGTTTTCTCGAGTGAACTAAATTAACATGTAACTAATTATATGCACAACGACAGTGAGATGCAGACAAATGAACTGAAATTACAGAAATGCTTACAATAGGAATGTCCTTTATGCTGAGAAGAGGCAGAGGGTCGGACGTGCTAACGTGCACCGGCGCGAGAGGGGCGCCCATCACCCCGAGTAGCAGTCGGAGATCGGACCTCCGGCCGTAGCTATTCAAGGCGACGGAGGGAGTTCGCGTGAGCTGTCCCTTCACCCACTGGCCGATTCCTGACCCGACCCGCTTCGGTTCCCCGGTTACGTCCCCGTCCGGATCCGGACCCTCCATCAACGGCGTCAGGGTCTCGCCGGGCTGCCTTAGACTCCCCGATCTAGAGACTAACAGCTCAGGATTTGAAACGAAATGGCTGCTGCTATTGATACTCCTCCTCCTCCTCCAAAGCAGACCCGACCTAGGCGACCCGCTTCTCGCCGGACTCGCTGCTCGCGACCTCGCCGGAGAAAATCCCCGAAATTCCTTCAACGCCGAGAAGAAGCCCTGCTTCCGCTCCATTTCCTATATGAGTACACGTTACAGATATCCTAACCAAGCTCAATACACAATGCACTCTCAGAGCGGGAAACAATAACAATGTAACTGAGGAGTTGTCATGGAAAAACTTCCATCCACAGATTCAAAGCTAAAAATCCAACCAAAAACAAAAACCGCACGTAAAATCAGAGATATAGAAAACACGAAAACGAGTATGCGGAAGTCGATGCAATGGCTATGCAATGTACGGAAAATCTAGGTTTTCCAGAAGCTAAAATCATCGAACTAAGATATGAATCGCAGAGGAATATTCGAGAAGAAAATGCAGGTTACGAGAGAGAGAGCGAGGAAGAAGAAGAAGACTGGTGTGAGCAAGAAAGAGTTTTACAGTGTGAAATTGTGAATGCTGCCTGCTGGTTTGTGTGATATGTGGGGGAAGTCGGCACGTGTCTCACGCGCCGAATTGTTACGTGGCCCCACCTCACCTCATTTTCGTTAAACTTTACAGAACAAAATACGGAGCAGTCAAAATATATTTTAAGATAAAAATTACTAAAAATAACACTATAATTAATCGGTCAAAACTAAAAAAATGAGTTAATACCCAAAATCGTCCTCGTGGTTTTTCTCAATTTCGTCCTAAACGACTTTGGTGACCTAATATCGTCCCAAACTTTTGTGTTTCGCTCAATTTAGTCCTAGACTTTTGTGTTTTTGCTCAATTTAGTCCCTCATTTGTTATTCTGTCCATTTGGTGTTAAATAAATAAACAATTCAGTAATTTTAATATTAGCATCTCTTTACTCATAGACATGTGAACTGCGAAATCTCTTTCTTTTTTTTTTTTTACGAATTACTCCTAAAACTGCGAATTTGATTTGCAAGTCCAGGAGTAATTCTGGGTGTAATTCGTACAAGAAAGAGGAATTTCGCACTTCACAAGTGGAAAGTAAAGAGATATCAATATTGACATTACTGAATTGTCCCTTAATTTAACACCAATTTGACGGAATAACAAATGGAGGACTAAATTGAGTGAAACACAAAAGTCTGGGACGATATTAGGTCACCAAAGTCGTTTATGACGAAATTGAGAAAAACCACTATAGTCGAGGACGATTTTGGGTATTAACTCACTAAAAAATATTACTCTGTAAATAGACTTTGGCTCTGTTTGACAAACCTTGCTGAAAAGCTATAAGCTAGGAGCTGAAAGCTAAAAAGCTATAAGTTAGGAACTGAAAGTTGAAAAGCTATAAATTCGGAGCTGAAAACTGAAGAGTTGTTAAGCTAGTTGTTATGATTGAAAGTGTTTGGTAAAATTAGCTTTTTGATAAGCTGATAAATGTAAAAAAACTAAAAAGGACATCTTCATAAAATTTAAATTAGTTTGTTTACATATTAAAATTTAACGTTTTGTCTTTAAAAAAATTTAACATTTTAAAATAAAACTATTAGCATAATCATGATCTAGCATCTCATAATGAAGTAGCAATATTGTTGAAAATTTAATAATAATAATAATAATAATAATAATAATAATAATAATTGCGGTGAAAGTTGCGGATAAAGGAGAAGAGAAAATGGTTTTAATTGGAAAGGGTAAATTACGTCATTTCTTTAAAATAATAAGGATAAAGATGGAAAAAAAAAAAGTTAAGAAGCTATGAGCTTATTTTGAAACGCTACCTAAGTTAGCGTTCCAAAATAAGCTCTTATTTTAAGCTAGGAGCTTATTTTGGGAACATTACCAAACAGAGCTTATAGCTTATTAGTAGCTTAAAATAAGCTATAAACTCTGCCAAAGAGAGCCTTTAATCCACCATTTATATATTTATTTATATCTAAATCTAAAATTTTAATCTAAAAACATAATAAGTGTGGATGAAGGTTATACCCTTTATTTATGTCCGTTTTTTTCGTTAAATTTTATGATACATTATGTTATAAATATTGTACTATACAATATTTTGGACAAACATACCCCTACCGTTATAACTTCCGTTATCTTTTCTACTATTGTTACCATGCACATGCATCCACCATATATTAATTAATTAACATGTACATAAACATAATAATTAAATTACTTAGAAATTTGATTAACATGTTTGGTTTGTTTAAACTTTTTTATAATTTTTTTTTTAAATGTCTAATATATATTTGCTATATACTAACATTTAAAAAAAAAAAAAAACATAACGAATAACTGAGAATTACCAAGCACGTTGTGCTCAATTTGCACATACTACATTGTAATAGAGTTGATTGAAATACCAATTTAATAGAGTGAATTGAAATACCAATATTAATTCAAAAAACTGCAAATCCAATTTCTTCTTCTCTCCTCTTATCTCTTTCGTTCAACTATTTTTTTTTCTTCATAATATATATATATATATATATATATATATATATATATATATATATATATATATATATCTCTTCTAATGGGAATGCTTTAAAACAATGTTTCATTATCATTTGTTGTTATTTCAATTCCTTTCTTATTATGTAATGATTATAATGATAATAACCACAATACCAATAAGATAACAAATACCAAAAATGATGCTTTGAAAACGCAACTCAAGTGATTGACAAAATAAAAATAAATTCATAAATTATACTTTTTTAATTGTGTGTTGAAACTGTTAAAATAGCAAAAGTTACCTAAGTGAATTGTTGGTTTGTCCTCATCGATAGAATTCATGTTATGAAAATAGCAAATTGTGACGGTTCAGGCATACCCAAAATAGAAATCAAATCCAATAAATCAATGCCAGAATGAGATCACCATCAAAATGGGATAGATGTTAAGATAAATCGACCAGAAATAAAGATCATAAATTTATTATAAGCTTCAAAAGATTGGTAAAAATCTAATTTTTGAATTAGACTCAAAGCGGGAGTTCAAGAAATAACAATGGTAAGATGCATGGGATCTCAAAATCCAAATAGAATTTTGAAATGTATGAAATAGATACAATTTTTAAGAATATCCCAATTGGAGAATGAGGCGAAAGTGCAATCAAATTATAGAAATTTTTAAAGAATAATAATTGACGAATCAATTTGCAAAGAATCATACCAATATTGAATTATCTTTTGATTTACAAAAAAGTTAATAGACGTTACATGAAGTCAATGAATTATCCCGTGACAGGGTTTGCTGGAAATCTTATCCATCTTTGTCAGCTTAACACTTTCGATAGAATCATATCCAAATGAATAGTACGAGAATCATGCTCTACACACGTCACCCATGAGAAAGCTATTTTTCCTAAAAAAAAAAAAAAAAACTGATCACCTATTTAAAATGGTAACAAATCAATGTGTCATCATACTACATAATAATTGAGTCATTTTATTTCCTTAAAAATATAAATACCTCGCAAGTTTACACCTACTTATGCAACCAATTCAATGACGGGATTTACATAATTTACATCCTCACAATAAAATAAATACCTTACAAATTTAGTCTCTGTGTTCAGATGAATTACCATAATTTACATTCTCCAAAATATTCTGTAAGGTGGGGACGTGAAATCAGATTCAAGTTTTTGAGAACCACAATTCAATGACGGGATGGGATTACTACATGCGTTATGTTTTCACGTGTCTTAATGATTAATTAACGGAATGCACTCCGATATGAAAAGATATGTTTTATTGATTGTTTTTGCAATAATGTTGCCTGTCAATTGTCATAACATCACTTCTTATCATCCACACAAAAGCAACGTCCAAACGTCACCTGAAACACTTATTTTGACACAAATTATTAACTATCAATGTTAAAACATTCCATAATTAGTGGGCTCTCTCTCCCTTAAACACAAGTAAATGAGATAAATTGTATGATGTGTCTCAATAAGAGCATTTCCAACCCAATTTACATTAAAATACCAAATTTCTCCATCAAATGTCACATCAGAAAGAATATTCTTACACCAAATTTTATTCAATCTCCAACCCATTTACACCAAAATACCAAATTTCTACACTAAAATAATTTGATTTCTCAATTATTAGTTCGAATTTAATTTGTTTAATATAATTTAGTTCGAACTTAATTTGTTTAATATAAAATATAACTTGTGATGTAAATAAAATTTTTTATTAACATTAATTTTTTTATAACATTAATTATTTTAAAAAATCAAATTTAACAATATTTTTGAAAATTTAATTTATTCCACAATAATAATATAGCATAAAATTTAATTTTTATTATTATGTTTTAGTTATGTTTAATGTATTTGAAATTTTAATTAATCTATATTCAATATTAGTCTTGTTTCGATCGTTTCAATGAGATCTTTCAAATGGTATAATATATATTTAATAATACAAACTTTAAATATAAGTATTTAACAAAATAAAAAATTATATATAAAACAAATAAGGATACATTTGGAATTAGAAAAGGAAATAAGGGTAGGAATGTAATTTGGCAGCCCCTCTCATATTTGCCGTAGATGAACAGTGCCGCGCCAAATATGGCGCAGCACTGTTCATTAACGCCAAATAGTTTGGCGTTATGCCGTTATGCAGCACCACGTTGGAGCTCCGAAATTAGGGAAGATGGCGGGATGGCGTGAATTTTTGCAGTTTTACCGCTACATTGGAGATGCTCTAAGACAACAAGTCTAAATTTATACCACTTCCATTTTTTTGGTCTTTTGATAGGATTCAAATCCAATATTTTATGACTGTACGGCCACCTTCATTTTTCTGGTCTTAAAAAGATTTGAACCTTACATCTTACAACAACCGCTTATAAAATAAAATTTATATACTTATTTTGAATTAATTGACAAGTTAAAGTTGTAAGCCGGACAATTGAAGAGATTCATAATTGGCTCAAGTGGAGCTACAATACAATTATAGGTTTTGTTCTGGGCTGTTTGTTTCTAAAGGCTAGGGTGTCGGACAAAATTGCTATTCCTTCAAAACCAAGCATCCATCCCACCTCACTTTACTGCCACCCTTTACTCTTTTAGTATCTTTAAGCCTGAAAAGATAATATATATGTTTCTTTGTTATCTCCATCTGCAATTAAATAAAAAAAAAAACAGGAATGCATATAAAAGCTGAGTTCCTCTTTTATTTTTTCTACTTTTTGTCTGAGACCAAATAAAGAAGACATGCCATTTCTTACATATCACTTTGTAAGTTGAATCTACAACCCGCCATTATTGAAAAACCTTAGCAATTTCGTTTAAGGATTATATGCTTTTGGTGTATTTTAATTTTGTAATCATCTTTATTTTTAGGCTAAAGTGTCATAAGTTATTCTTCTTGCCGCATCTTGACCTTTCATAAGTGCTGATTTGATGCACAAATTAATTTTTTTTTTGGTCGCCTAGTCTTTTTTAAAAGTTTCCCTGTAAACCTGATGACATGG